CATTTCGTTTACTGGCTTTCCTGTCAGTTCTCTGTCCCACGGAACCTCCTGCAGGAAGTGTGTGTGTGTGTGTGTGTGTGTGTGTGTGTGTGTGTGTGTGTGTGTGTGTGTGTGTGATAGTGACCAACATCAGAGGACACATTATTATTATTATTATTATTATTATTAATCCTCTATCATCATTATTATTATTATTATTATTATTATATTATTATTATTATTATTATTATTATTATTATTATTATTATTATTATTATTAACCATCGTCATTATTGTTATCATTATTATCATTAATCATAGTCATTATTATTATTATTATTATTATTATTATTATTATTATTATTATTATTATTATTATTATTATTATTATTGGGTAACTGCTAAACTGGTAGAAGTTATGCACATCCTGTTATGAGAGATATTCAGATTTGATCCAAGTAAAGGGAGGCAGCACAGCTTCCTTGCACCACATACTGACAACAACCCTAGACTTGAGAGGAGTTAGGAGGAAATTCTGGACTGTGGACAGGTGGTGGAAGGCTGTATGCAGGCGGTGGAAAGCTGCAGGCAGGTTGTGGATAGCTGTAGGCAGGTGCTGGGAGGCTGTGAGCAGGTGGTGGGAGGCTGTGGGTAGGTGGTGGAAGGCTGTGGGTAGGTGGTGGGAGGCTGTGGGCAGGTGGTGGGGGGCTGTGGGCAGGTGGTGGGAGGATGTGAGCAGGTGGTGGGAGGATGTGAGCAGGTGGTGGGAGGCTGTGGGCAGGTGGTGGGAGGCTGTGGGCAGGTGGTGGGAGGCTGTGGGCAGGTGGTGGGAGGCTGTGGGCAGGTGGTGGGAGGCTGTGGGCAGGTGGTGGGAGGCTGTGGGCAGGTGGTGGGAGGCTGTGGGCAGGTGGTGGGAGGCTGTGGGCAGGTGGTGGGGGCTGTGGGCAGGTGGTGGGAGGCTGTGAGCAGGTGGTGGGAGGCTGTGGGTAGGTGGTAGGAGGCTGTGGGTAGGTGGTGGGAGGCTGTGGGCAGGTGGTGGGAGGCTGTGGGTAGGTGGTGGGAGGCTGTGGGCAGGTGGTGGAAGGCTGTGGCTAAGATCATGTTTAAAGCGAGAAGTGTTCACGAGGGAAGGTGAAGCAAAGATGATAGGAAACGGAGGAATAAGAAGAAGAAGAAGAAGAAGAAGAGGGTATAAACAATACTAATGAGTAAGAAGAAGTTAAGAGAACGAGGCAGTCTGTGTTATGCTTCTTGAATAGAGAGGAAGGTATATAAACAAAAGAGTCTCGGGTGTGAAGACTCTTACACTCTCTAAAGTGAGAAAACCAGAGATAATAAGAAAGAGGAGAAGTACGGGAAACAAGATAGAGAAGGAGGGAGAATCTGAAGGAAGAGAGAGAGAGAGAGAAAATGTGTAAAGCAAGAATATAAAAAGAGGAAGAACTTGAAACAAGATTAAGAATGAGGAGAAACATCCAGTACGAAGACTTTGATTAAATGCCTGTATGTATCTCTCTCTCCGTCTGCCTGACGCTGCCTGCCTGACGCTGCCTGCCTGGCGCTGCCTGCCTGACGCTGCTTGCCTGACGCTGCCTGCCTGACGCTGCCTGCCTGACGCTGCCTGCCTGACGCTGCCTGCCTGGCGCTGCCTGCCTGACGCTGCTTGCCTGACGCTGCCTGCCTGACGCTGCCTGTCTGTCGCTGCTTGCCTGACGCTGCCTGCCTGACGCTGCCTGCCTGACGCTGCCTGCCTGACGCTGCCTGCCTGACGCTGCTTGCCTGACGCTGCCTGCCTGACGCTGCCTGCCTGACGCTGCCTGCCTGACGCTGCTTGCCTGACGCTGCCTGCCTGACGCTGCTTGCCTGACGCTGCCTGCCTGGCGCTGCCTGCCTGGCGCTGCCTGCCTGACGCTGCCTGCCTGACGCTGCCTGCCTGACGCTGCCTGCCTGGCGCTGCCTGCCTGACGCTGCCTGCCTGACGCTGCCTGCCTGGCGCTGCCTGCCTGACGCTGCCTGCCTGACGCTGCCTGCCTGGCACTGCCTGCCTGACGCTGCCTGCCTGGCGCTGCCTGCCTGACGCTGCCTGCCTGACGCTGCCTGCCTGGTGCTGCCTGCCTGGCGCTGCCTGCCTGACGCTGCCTGCCTGGCGCTGCCTGCCTGACGCTGCCTGCCTGGTGCTGCCTGCCTGGCGCTGCCTACCTTACACTACCTGCCTGGCTACACTTGCCTTGTGGAGTAATGTATGCATTATTCATCCTGAAGGTTGCCAGAAAAAAAATGCGAGTTATTTGTAAACCCGGCAGAGGGAACACATGCGCCTACGCAGCTGATAACCCTATAATAACGGTCACGTGTGTGTGATTTATCGCAGTTGTCGCGGTCACCTCATACAGTGGGAGATAACGCCAGGTTAATTATCATATCTAATCAGGGGGAAGTACACAGAATCCTCCGTCGTCGCTATTTCCTCTACCATCGTTATGATTTGGACCTGCCTAGCATGAGCCAGTAGGTGACTTGGACCTGCCTAGCATGAGCCAGTAGGTGACTTGGACCTGCCTAGCATGAGCCAGTAGGTGACTTGGACCTGCCTAGCATCGGCCAGTAGGACTGCTGCAGAGCTCCTTCTTTGCTGTGTTCTTAGGACTAAAGAAGCCACTGTCTGGCGAATCGTTTCATCCTCAATAAAGATTCCCAAATGCTACACAAGTATCTTATTTTTTAACTTATCGGCTTCCTAAACTATTTATCGTATCCGATAAAGTTAGCCAATTTCCGATACAGTTACTGAAGACAGCTGCAGCGTTAGTGTTTGTGTGTGGTGAAGAACTCTTCTGAGGCCACACAAAGCGGCCATTACGTAAAAAGTCCTACAAACTCATTTATCAACTTGTCTGTTTCCTAAACCGTTTATGCACAGCATGTCAGACACAGCAACATCTTGGGGTCTCGATGCAGGAATTTCTACAGACTTGTCTATAGACACGACCTACTTCCACTAGTGATCTTCCCCACTGGTAACTCCGCCCACCACTGCTCCACCGACAGACAAACTAGTCATAAGTTTGACTAAGACACTCCAATATAGAAACTATTATGCCAAATCGAGACAATTTCCATTAATAGATAAACTAATTGTTAAGTTCTTAAATATTCTGAACTACCTCAGTTTTATAAATCTAGTTAATCACTACAATTACCTAACCTTAATACCAGTATGATCCATATCCTGTGTCAATATACAGTAAGAACTAGTATTAGTCTGCCCGAAATGCCTAGGCCTAACTAGGCCTACTAGTGGCCTTCTTTGTAAAAGTATTTTATAATGTGTAAACCCCACATTATAATATTAACAGAGAAATAAAGAATTTTAATTTTAATTTTAATCTGCCACAGTATATAAGCCTCACCTCCGTGAATATGCAGCAGTTTCGTCGAGACTGATGGACTGAACACATCGAGTCTAGGTTGAGGCACTGATTACCTCAACCCTCTCCTCATCTTCCACCTTTCTCTGCACTGGACTGAAGAAGCCACTGTGTAGCGAAACGTTTCCAGAATAAAGATCTCCAAATATTGCACAAGTGTCTCATTTATCAACTTGTCGTTTTTCTGCACCATTTATACACATTAGGAATCACTATTAGGTTTTATTCTCTTTTTCTTTACCTTTATAACTTTATTGTTAAGCTACTCTGTTATTATCTTATGTACAACTTAACTATTAAGCCTTTCTGTTGTTACCTGCAGGTTGGACACCGTTCTTGCCCCCCCCCCTCGTGCACCTGTCCTCACTCTTCAGTTAGGTACAGTACATCTTGATAGTTCCTGCTGGAAGAACTGTAGCCTTCGGCACAACATCCTACACGTTGCTTATGGGTCTGTTTACCTAACTGATTGTCGCTGTATTCATAACTTTTACTCTCTCTCTCTCTCTCTCTCTCTCTCTCTCTCTCTCTCTCTCTCTCTCTCTCTCTCTCTCTCTCTCTCTCTCTCTCTCTCTCTCTTCCTTCTTTGCTATTTTATACTCTGGTTACTCATAGAATTAGAGCATTAATTTATGATACTCGGTAGAGACATTAAGGAAGGGACGTGTGGGTTGGCTGAATCACTAATGGCTTCCTGGGCCATGATGGCTGCTGCTTCCAAGACATTCAGACCGAACGTCAGGTCACGTCACGTCACGTTAGATCACGTCACATCAGGTAGTGTCAAGTCACGTCTACACCACACCTTTCATGGAGAGATCTCTTTAATCCACTCCTGCATAGACAAGGACCTATGACTCGACTCCTTCCACCACATAAAGGTAAGTACAGACCAACACACCCTCGTTGAATATAAACAGGTTACTTTATTGGGTTTAAAGCTTATCGACTACACTGGGAGAGGTACGAAAACTAGAGACGAAATATGTACAGGCTCGGGGGACAAGGTTGCAACTCTCATTCGAGGAGGAGGACCTGAGGGTGAGCATAGCGCCGAGCATGTCGTCTGCTACGTACCTAAACCGAATAACTTCTGAAGTATATATGCGACTGGCACATCTAAGATTAGTTTCAAGAAATTTCAACGAAAAGCTGTTTACGACACTTCATACGACACATGTCAGGCCCATCTTCGAGTGTGCAGCATCAATATGGAACCCATACTTGATCTAAAATGCCATGAAACTGGAAAGAGTGCAGAGATTTCCAACAAGACTAGTACCAGAGTTGAGGTATAAACTACGAAGAGAGACTAGAGGAACTAAACCTAATATCGTTAAAGAACTGAATGACTAAGGGAGACATGATAACGATATACAAATACTCAGAATAATTAACAGGGCGGGCAGGGATTGGACTGGAGAAGCCACCGTGTGGCGAAATGTTTCCGTAATAAAGATACCCAAATGTTGCACAAGTATTTAATTTATCAACTTATCAGTTCTGTAAATCATTCACGGTTATGGGTACACAAGAGCACAACTAGAAGTAAAGAAAAATGAGTCACAGAAATGTCAGGGAGTATTTCATCAATCTCAGAGCGCACGGGAAGTGGAATAACCTGAACGGTGAAGTGGCAGAGACAGGATTTATAAACACTTTTAAGAATAGATATAATAGAGCGCAAATTGCCAGGAGTGAACGTGGTAGTGGCCAATTTAAGAAGAGGAACCTAGAGCTGTAACTGGACCTGATCAACCACAAATAGGTGAATATCCCCTCGGTGTATATAACTTTTGCAAGTAAACAAAGGCAAACACAGTACATAGCAGTGAGTCTTCAGTCATAAAGTTGTCAGGAAGTGGAATAGTCTGGAGAGGTGATGTTGTGGAGGCAGGATTCACACATAGCTTTAGGAAGAAGTACGATAAAGTTCATGGAGAAAGAGTGAACCTAGTGGCGACAGGGAAGAGGCAGGGCCAGGAGCTGTGAATCGATCCCTGCAACCACAAATAGGCGAGTACAGCACTATATATGTGATGCAGGGCCTGGAAAGTGGGGGAAACAATCAAGTTTGATCCGAGGATGACAAGCATAGCCCCCAGTTAATTATATAAATTAACTGGGGCTGTGCATCGAGGCTCTCCCTCTCCTCCTCCCATCCTTGAAGGGTCGTGTCCACCGCAAAACATGTCACCTCCCAGACAGACGTTATCTGTACCCAGCCACACACAGCATTACCTTCCTGCACGGTGCCTCACCACTCTCATCCTGGTGACTCAGGGCATCTTTCTCCCCACACTCCTCAAGGAAGGTTCCTTGATGTTGGTGAGGGGCTCTTGATTTAGGGAATTGGATCTGTGCTCCAGTTCCCCGAATTAAGCCTGAATGCCTTCCACATCCCCCCCAGGCGCTGTATAATCCTCCGGGTTTAGCGCTTCCCCCTTGATTATAATAATAATTTCTCCCCACAACTATCAAGTAATATCCTATCAACACTCACCACATTATTATTATTAGTAGTAGTAGTAGTAGTGGTAGTAATAGTAGTAATATAGTAGTAGTAGTAGTAGTAGTAGTAGGGGTGGTGGTTGAGGTAGTAGTAACATTATGATTACACTAGTCAATTAAAATTTAACTTTTTATCCAGCTCATTCACGTAAGGATTTTTGTAATTTTATTATCAATATTTTTTCTATTTAAGAATGAAGAACTACATGACACGTGTTACCTAACAATCATAGTATTATTTTATGTACATATATTAAGTGTGGTTCTCCATGGGGAAATGGAGAAGAATTCTTCCTCCGTAAGTCATGCTTGTTGTAAGAGGCAACTAAAATGCCAGAAGCAAGTGACTAGTAACCCCTTCTCCTGTATATATTACTAAATATAAAGAGAAAAACTTTCGTTTTTCTTCTTAGGTCACCCTGCCTCGGTGGGATATGGCATAAATTTCCATTTAATCATACAAACATATTTACATCACAATTTTCATTTTTTTTTCGCTAATGTTCAGTATGGTTCTCCTACACCAGTGTCCAGCAGCAGTTCATCATCAAGCTGACCCTCAGGTTTCAACAAATATCTCTTCTCCATGACAGCTGTCTTAGTGACATTGTTTACCGTGGGGTCCTGTCCAGGGTTGGGTGGGGAGCTGGTGTTAGTGTTGGTGCCGGGGTGATGTTGGACCAGCTTGGAAAGGGATTAAAGTTGCTTCTGGATGAGTTGTGTGTGTTTGGGTGCTCCTTCCTCATTGCTTGATTGGTAGCGCACTTAGCTCACATATTAAGTGTCCGTGTTTCGATCTTCGGCATGGGTGGAAACGTTGGACATGTTTCCCTACACTCGCTGCCCCTATTCACCTAGCAGTAAGTAGGTACCTGGGTGTTAGTCGACTGTTGTGGGTGGCATCCTGGGGGTAGTAGTAGTATACGTTACACAGGGTTGGCCTTTGCAATAAGCTGTGGTGGGATAACAGCCCTTAGTCTACAGGGTTTTCACCCTCGGCTGTTTGCTCTCCATCGTTGTCCAGTGTCCTTCCAGGTACACACAACTGTAGCATCGTGTGGTCTTCAAGTGCGCTTTCTCTTGTAGGATCCTTTCCCATTTTATAGTGTGTGTGTACTCACCTTGTTGTACTCGCCTAGTTGTGGTTGCAGGGGTCGATTCACAGCTCCTGGCCCCGCCTCTTCACTGGTCGCTACTGGGTCACTCTCCCTGCTCCATGAGCTTTATCATGTGTGTGTGTGTGTGTGTGTGTGTGTGTGTGTGTGTGTGTGTGTGTGTGTGTGTGTGTGTGTGTGTGAATAAGTCGAAATAAAAATGTAAGTGTTGATCAGGAGGAAAGAAAAAAAATGCGAATAAGAAACTCATCACGATATATCCTGAAGTTTAAGACTTTTGAAATATTTCTTATTTACCTGAGACCCCGACCCCCTCCCTCATTCACTTCCTCCCTCTCTTCTCTTCCTTCCTCCTTCTCTCCTTTCCTCCCACTCTCCCTGTCTCCCTCCCTCTCTGTTTCTCTCCCTCCCTTCCTCTCTCTCTGTTCGTCTCCCTTCTTTCCACCCTTTCTGTTCCTCTCCATCACTGCCTCCCTTTCTCCCTCCCTGCTTCCCTCCCTCCCTCCCTCCTTTTCTCCCTGCCTCCCTCCTTCTCTCCCTGCCTCCCTCCTCTCTCTCCCTGCCTCCCTCCCTCTCTCCCTGCCTCCCTCCCTGTCTTGTCCTACACCACTGTCAGCGTTCATGAGTGACAAGGTTCCAAAAAATAATAAAATTGGATTTCCTCCTTCTCCTCCTCATAGTCTTCCTCCCATCCACTTCCTCCCCTCCTCCTCCTTCTCTTCCACCCCCTCCTCTTCTTCTTCCTCCTCCTCCTCCCAGAAAATTGCTTGCTGCCATCATAAAAGACGAGCCTCGTCAACACTGAATGAAGGCAGGTGTGTAAGCCAGGTCCAGGTACTACAGGTGTGTGAACAAGATCCAGGTAACGCGTGTGTGTGATCCAGGTCCAGGCACTACAAATATGTGAGCCAGGTCCAGGTACTACAGGTGTGTAAGCCAGGCCCAGGCAATACAGATGTTTTAGCCAGGTCCAGGTACTACAGGTGTGTGAGCCAGATCCAGGTAACACAGGTGTGTGAGCCAGGTCCAGGTAACACGGGTGTATGAACCAGGCCCAGGTACTGCAGGTGTGTGAGCCAGGTCCAGGTAACAGGTGTGTGAACCAGATCCAGGTACTGCAAGGGTGAGCCAGGTTCAGGTAACATGTGTGTGAGCCAGGTTCAGGTAACGTGTGTGAGCCAGGTCCAGGTAACACAGATGTGCGAGCCAGGTACTACAGGTGTGTGAACTAGCCCCAGGTACCACAGATGTGTGAGCCAGGTCCAGATAACACAGGTGTGTGAGCCAGGTCCAGGTACTGCAGATGTGTGAACCAGACCCAGGTACGACAGACGTGTGAACCAGACCCAGGTACGACAGACGTATCAACCAGACCCAGGTACGACAGACGTGTGAACCTGCCCCAGGTACGACAGACGTGTGAACCTGCCCCAGGTACGACAGACGTATGAACCAGACCCCAGGTACGACAGACGTGTGAACCTGACCCCAGGTACGACAGACGTGTGAACCAGACCCACGTACGACAGATGTGTGAACCAGACCCACGTACGACAGATGTGTGAAACCAGACCCAGGTACGACAGACGTGTGAACCAGACCCAGGTAGGACAACACATATCCCTGAATGATACCGAAAGGCTCTTGATCCAAGAAATCGTAGTTGCTCTCCCCTTCCTCAGATAAAATATTACTTCCTCCCAAAGATTATTATTATTATTATTATTGTTATTATATTATTAGTAGTAGTAGTAGTATTGTTGTTGTTGTTGTTGTTATTATTATTGAGGGTGAGTCTTACTTTAGTCTCCCTTAACAACCCCAACAACAGCCATTATCAAGGCTCACATCTCAACTGTCCTCATATAGAAGGTGTCACCTCATTATACATAGCTCACTGGATATTTTACACGTTATAATAGGCACCAACTCATTATTTTCAGCCCAGATATAGGTCAGAACTGCCTGTGTACAGCGTGAGTCAGGAGCTGCTCGACGACCTCCAGGAAGAACAACAGAGATGGATAACTTGAGAAAAACTTGGCCATTGTACAGATCCATGTTAAGAGTAAGTTTGTGTTAAGTTGCTTAAGGTTAAGTTTGTGTCAAGTTGCTTAAGGTTAAGTTTGTGTCAAGTTGCTTAAGGTTAAGTTTGTGTCAAGTTGCTTAAGGTTAAGTTTGTGTCAAGTTGCTTAAGGTTAAGTTTGTGTCAAGTTGCTTAAGGTTAAGTTTGTGTCAAGTTGCTTAAGGTTAAGTTTGTGTCAAGTTTCTTAAGAGTAAGTTTGTGTCAATTTGCTTACCTGGAGTTTACCTGGAGAGAGTTCCAGGGGTCAACGCCCCCATGGCCCGGTCTGTGACCAGGTCTCCTGGTGGATCAGAGCCTGATCAACCAGGCTGTTGCTGCTGGCTGCACGCAAACCAACGTACGAGCCACAGCCCGGCTGGTCAGGAACCGACTTTAAGTGCTTGTCCAGTGCCAGCTTGAAGACTGCCAGGGGTCTGTTGGTAATCCCCCTTATGTATGCTGGGAGGCAGTTGAACAGTCTCGGGCCCCTGACACTTATTGTATGGTCTCTTAACGTGCTAGTGATACCCCTGCTTTTCATTGGGGGGATGTTGCATCGTCTGCCAAGTCTTTTGCTTTCGTAGTTTACCTGGACCTGGAGTTTACCTGGAGAGAGTTTCGGGGGTCAACGCCCCCGCGGCCCGGTCTGTGACCAGGCCTCCTGGTGGATCAGCGCCTGATCAACCAGGCTGTTGCTGCTGGCTGCACGCAAACCAACGTACGAGCCACAGCCCGGCTGATCAGGAACTGTCTTTAGGTGCTTGTCCAGTGCCAGCTTGAAGACTGCCAGGGGTCTGTTGGTAATCCCCCTTATGTGTGCTGGGAGGCAGTTGAACAGTCTCGGGCCCCTGACACTTATTGTATGGTCTCTTAACGTGCTAGTGACACCCCTGCTTTTCATTGGGGGGATGGTGCATCGTCTGCCAAGTCTTTTGCTTTCGTAGTGAGTGATTTTCGTGTGCAAGTTTGGTACTAGTCCCTCTAGGATTTTCCAGGTGTATATAATCATGTATCTCTCCCTCCTGCGTTCCAGGGAATACAGGTTTAGAAACCTCAAGCGCTCCCAGTAATTGAGGTGTTTTATCTCCGTTATGCGCGCCGTGAAAGTTCTCTGTACATTTTCTAGGTCGGCAATTTCACCTGCCTTGAAAGGTGCTGTTAGAGTGCAGCAATATTCCAGCCTAGATAGAACAAGTGACCTGAAGAGTGTCATCATGGGCTTGGCCTCCCTAGTTTTGAAGGTTCTCATTATCCATCCTGTCATTTTTCTAGCAGATGCGATTGATACAATGTTATGGTCCTTGAAGGTGAGATCCTCCGACATAATCACTCCTAGGTCTTTGACGTTGGTGTTTCGCTCTATTTTGTGCCAGAATTTGTTTTGTACTCTGATGAAGATTTAATTTCCTCATGTTTACCATATCTGAGTAATTGAAATTTCTCATCGTTGAACTTCATATTGTTTTCTGCAGCCCACTGAAAGATTTGGTTGATGTCCGCCTGGAGCCTTGCAGTGTCTGCAATGGAAGACACTGTCATGTAGATTCGGGTGTCATCTGCAAAGGAAGACACGGTGCTGTGGCTGACATCCTTGTCTATGTCGGATATGAGGATGAGGAACAAGATGGGAGCTAGTACTGTGCCTTGTGGGACAGAGCTTTTCACCGTAGCTGCCTCGGACTTTACTCTGTTGACGACTACTCTCTGTGTTCTGTTAGTGAGGAAATTATAGATCCATCGACCGACTTTTCCTGTTATTCCTTTAGCGCGCATTTTGTGCGCTATTACGCCATGGTCACACTTGTCGAAGGCTTTTGCAAAGTCTGTATATATTACATCTGCATTCTTTTTGTCTTCTAGTGCATTTAGGACCTTGTCGTAGTGATCCAGTAGTTGAGACAGACAGGAGCGACCTGTTCTAAACCCATGTTGCCCTGGGTTGTGTAACTGATGGGTTTCTAGATGGGTGGTGATCTTGCTTCTTAGGACCCTTTCAAAGATTTTTATGATATGGGATGTTAGTGCTATTGGTCTGTAGTTCTTTGCTGTTGCTTTACTGCCCCCTTTGTGGAGTGGGGCTATGTCTGTTGTTTTTAGTAACTGAGGGACGACCCCCGTGTCCATGCTCCCTCTCCATAGGATGGAAAAGGCTCGTGATAGGGGCTTCTTGCAGTTCTTGATGAACACAGAGTTCCATGAGTCTGGCCCTGGGGCAGAGTGCATGGGCATGTCATTTATCGCCTGTTCGAAGTCATTTGGCGTCAGGATAACATCGGATAGGCTTGTGTTAGTCAAATTTTGTGGCTCTCTCATAAAAAAATTCATTTTGGTCTTCGACTCTCAGTCTGGTTAGCGGCTTGCTAAAAACTGAGTCATATTGGGACTTGAGTAGCTCACTCATTTCCTTGCTGTCATCTGTGTAGGACCCATCTTGTTTAAGTAGGGGCCCAATACTGGACGTTGTTCTCGATTTTGATTTGGCATAGGAGAAGAAATACTTTGGGTTTCTTTCGATTTCATTTATGGCTTTTAGTTCTTCCCGCGATTCCTGACTCCTAAAGGATTCTTTTAGCTTAAGTTCGATGCTTGCTATTTCTCTGACCAGTGTCTCCTGCGCATTTCAGATATATTGACCTCTTTTAGCCGCTCTGTTATTCTTTTCCGTCGCCTGTAAAGGGAGCGCCTGTCTCTTTCTATTTTACATCTACTCCTCCTTTTTCTTAGAGGAATAAGCCTTGTGCATACATCGAGTGCCACCGAGTTAATCTGTTCTAGCATAAGTTTGGGTCTGTGTTGCTTAGTATATCTTCCCAGCTTATATCGGTTAGGACTTGGTTTACTTGGTCCCACTTTATGTTTTTGTTATTGAAGTTGAATTTGGTGAATGCTCCCTCATGACTAGTCTCATTTTGTCGGTCTGGGGCTCCATGCATACATGTCTGAACCTCAATTATGTTGTGATCTGAGTATATTGTTTTTGATATGGTGACATTTTCTTATCAGATCATCATTGTTAGTGAAGATGAGGTCTAGTGTATTCTCCAGTCTTGTAGGCTCTATTATTTGCTGGTTTAAATTGAATTTTGTGCAGAGATTTAAAAGCTCGTGTGAGTGTGAGTTTTCATCAGAGCTGCCTCCTGGTGTTATTTCTGCAACAATATTATTTGCTATATTTCCTCCATTTTAGGTGCCTTAAGTTGAAATCCCCAGGAGCAAGATGTTGGGTGCAGGAGCTGGAAGATTTTCCAGACAGTGGTCAATTTTTAACAGCTGTTCCTGGAATTGCTGGATGTTGCATCCGGAGGCTTGTAGACTACCACAATGACTAGGTTTTGGTTCTCGACCTTTACTGCTAAAACTTCCACTACGTCATTTGAGGCATTAAGCAGTTCTGTGCAAACAAGTGACTCTGCAATGTACAGGCCAACCCCCCCCTTTTGCCTGTTCACTCTGTCACATCTGTATAGGTTGTAACCTGGGATCCATACTTCGTTGTCCAAGTGATCCTTTATGTGGGTCTCAGTGAAAGCCGCGAACATTGCCTTGCCTCTGCAAGCAGTCCACGGATGAAAGGTATTTTGTTGTTTGTAGCTGGCTTTAGACCCTGTATATTTGCAAAGAAGAATGTTATCGACTGGTGGTATTGTTGGTACTGGGGGGGGATTTTTTTTCCGGCATTAGTATCTGTATCTGTTGGTTTGGAGTGGAGGCCATCGACTGTGGTTCCACTCCAGGAATGACTGGATTTGGTGTACGATTTCTGCCATTTCCTGCCAGTTTTTTTTCCTTCCTGGCACTAAAAAACCTCTCCCTCTTGAGTGGCTGTGGCTACCCAGGTTTTCCCCTGGCCTGGATGTTTTGTATCTTTTTGTCCCCTTTAGATGGTATGCCTGGCAATTTAAGTTATAGCACAGTCTTTCCTGTACTGAAGAGGTACTGAAGAGGTAGTGAGTGATTTTCGTGTGCAAGTTCGGTACTAGTCCCTCTAGGATTTTCCAGGTGTATATAATCATGTATCTCTCCCGCCTGCATTCCAGGGAATACAGGTTTAGGAACCTCAAGCGCTCCCAGTAATTGAGGTGTTTTATCTCCGTTATGCGCGTCGTGAAGGTTCTCTGTACATTTTCTAGGTCAGCAATTTCACCTGCCTTGAAAGGTGCTGTTAGTGTGCAGCAATATTCCAGCCTAGATAGAACAAGTGACCTGAAGAGTGTCATCATGGGCTTGGCATCCCTCGTTTTGAAGGTTCTTAAGGTTAAGTTTGTGTCAAGTTGCTTAAGAGTAAGTTTGTGTCAAGTTGCTTAAGGTTAAGTTTGTGTCAAGTTGCTTAAGGTTAAGTTTGTATCAAGTTGCTTAAGGTTAAGTTTGTATCAAGTTGCTTAATGTTAAGTTTGTATCAAGTTGCTTAAAAGTAAGTTTGTGTCAAGTTGCTTAGCAGTGCATCGCTTAAGAAAAAAAAGTTTTTCTTTTTATACAGAAGGGGTTACTAGCATCTTGCTCCCGGCATGTTAGTCGCCTCTTACGACACACATGGCTTACGGAGGAAGAATTCTGTTCCACTTCCCCATTGAAAGCACTTTAAATATTTGTTATAATATTACATAAGAAAGAAGGAACACGGCAACAGACCTACTGACCTATGCGAGGCAGGTCCACTTCTCCCACCAGCTTAAGCCAGTGCCTTGACCTAGTGAGGTCAGACACATTACTTAGTAGCACAGGCTAGTCAGGTCCAACTCATACCCACCCACACCCACTCATGTATTTATTCAACCTATTTTTAAAACTACACAACGTCTTATTCTATGTTCATTTTACATTATTGGTAGACATTAATGCTTACAAAGAAAATGTGTATAAAAAATGGAAAGTTTGATCACAGAATTAGGGAAAAAACACACAAGCAAAGGAAAAGATAGAACAGCAATAAGAAAGCAGTTTTCACTGAGAGATTACAAAAGATTTAGAAATTATATTATATAGCAAACATTTAGTTAATACTTTATTTGTGTCCAAAACTTTCTCTGTCTTAGATGGTTGGCTTATTATGGTAATTCTCTTAAGGAAGTGTCAAGTGAAGAATCTCTTCAAATACATGTCAACAACATTAAGTTCTAGTGTTTTTAAAGGAGCCTTGAAACCTTTCTTAAAAGTATCATATATACTAGCTTGATCATTGCGTGTGTTAATTTTTATAATGATATTTCTTAATTTTCTCCAAGGCATTTTCATCAGAAAATAAGGTGAACACAAAGTTTGACTTCAAGCTTGCAGAAAACATTTCCGAAAATATAAACTCCGGCATGCTGAAGGCTCGTCATTTCCCAGGAGCTTTAGATGTTGGTTGTGTTACCTTGCCTGATGATCTCATGCAAGCTGCAACCATTGCCCTTGCAGGTATGTTATTGAGCTACTAATGTACAGTACAGTATGTGTTCTTTCATAAGTTTCCTCAAGGATGGTTTATTTTCCAAATAGTACAGTAAATAATTATAACAGTTATATACCAAAGAATGATGAAACAGTTAAAGTGTATTGTTTGGACAGTTGCAAAGATAATTTATGCAATATAAATGCTGTAAAGAGTTTTTATGAGGATAGTTAGGTTCAGGTTAGGGTGTGTAGGAGAGAGGGAGATTACTTTCCAGTAAAAGGTCTTAAACTGGGATGTGTAATGTCACCATGATAGTTTAACATATTTATAGATGGAGTTGTAAAACAAGTAAATGCTAAGGTGTTGGGGAGAGGGGTGAAATTAAATTACGGGGAATCAAATGCAAAATGGGAGTTGTCACAGTTACTTTTTCCTGATGATACTGTGGTTTTGGCAGATTCTAAAGAGAAGTTGCAAAGGTTAGTGAATGAGTTTGGGAGGGTGTGTAAAGAAAGTTGAAAGTGAACATAGATAAGAGTAAGGTGACGAGGGTATCAAACGAGTTAGGTAAAGAAAAATTGGATGTCACGTTGGAGTGAGGGAGTATGGAAGAAATGAATGTGTTCAGATGTCTGGGAGTAGATTTGTCAGTGGATGGATTTATGAAGGTCAAGGTTAACCATAGAAATGATGAAGGAAGAAAGGTGAGTGGTGCATTGAAGTGTCTGTGGAGACAAATAATATTATCCATGGAGACAAAGAAGGGAATGTATGAGAGTATAGTGGTACCAACACTATTATATGGGTGCGAAGCATGGGTTGTGAGTGCTGCAGCGAGGAGGAGGCTAGAGGCAGTGGAGATGTCGTGTTTAAGGGCAATGTGTGGTTTAAGTATTATGCAGAGAATTTGTATTGTGCAAATTAGGACGAGGTGTGGAGTTACAAAAAGTATTATTCAGAGGGCTGAAGAGGGGTTATTGAGGGGGTTTGGTCATTTAGAGAGGATGGAGCAAAATAGAATGGCTTGGAGGGTGTATAAATCTGTAGTGGAGGGGAGGAGGGGGTAGGCATTGTCCTAGGAAAGGATGGAGGGAGGGGGGTGTAAAAGAGATTTTGTGTTCAAAGGGAATGGACATGCAGCAGGCATGTGTGACTGTGTTAGGAATAAATGGAGATGAATGGTTTTTGAGACCTGATGAGCTGTTGGAGTGTGAGCAGGGTAATATTTTGTGAGGGGATTCAGGGAAACCAGTTAGCCAAACTTGTGTCTTGGAGGTGGGAAGTACAATGCCTGCACTTTAAAGGAGGGGTTTGGGTCACCCTGCTTTGGTGAGAGACGGCTAACATATTACCTGGAGTTTACCTGGAGAGGGTTTCGGGGGTCGATGTCCCCACGGCCCGGTCTGAGACCAGGCGTCGTGGTGGATCAGGGTCTGATCAACCAGGCTGTTACTGCTGGCCATATGCATCACAGCCTGGTTGGTCAGGTACTGACTTTAGGTGCCTGTCCAGTGCCTTCTTGTAGACAGCCAGGAGTCTATTAGTAATCCCCCTTATGTATGCTGGGAGGCAATTGAACAGTCTTGGGCCCTGGACACTTATTGTGTTGTCTCTCAGTGTATCCGTGGTGCCCTGCTTTTCATCGGGGGAATGTTGCATCTCCTGCCGAGTCTTTTGCTTTCACAGGGAGTGATTTTCGTGTGCAGGTTTGGTACCAATCCCTCCAGGAAATGTGCTGTTTTAATATTTACCAAGAGATGACAGAAAACTTTAGTGTTCATAAGTATTTATTACAACTTCAGAAAAATGCTCATGCTTAAAATCCCTTTAGTAAAATATGATGCATAAGTTGAATTTATACTGTGTGCATGGGTGCATATGTGCATTCATGTGCATGTGTATGCATGTGCACTCACACATGCGAGTGTGTGTGTGTGCACACATACATGCCTCCATGCATGTATGAGAGAGGAAAAGAGTATGTTCTCACCTATATGTAGTTGCAGGGATCGAGTCACAGGCCCCGCCTCTCAACTTGCCCCAGTCATATTCACTCTCTCCTAGCCTTGTGGGTCCTATCAGACCTACTCTTAAAACTATGCATGGATGTTATGTTACGTGGAGTCTGTCTCTGCTTCTTCGGCAAGATCATTCCACTTCCCAGTCACCCTGAGACTGAAGAAATAGTTTTTGATTTTTCTTTGTGACTCATCCATATATGTACTTACCTACATATTGTTGCAGGGTTGAAGTCAGTTCCTGGCCCCATGTGTGTGTGTACTTGCATATGCAGTTTTGTGCACATTTGTGCATATGCATGTATGCAAGTGTGTGTGTATGGGTGGGGGGGGGGCATTTGTCAAATAGATACCTGGCCTGTTTTGCATGTGTATGCATGCATATCTGAGAAGTTTTTGTGTGCATGCACATTGGGCCCCCCATTGCCCTACAACTTGCCACTTGCCAGATACACTCCCTCCTAGCTTTATGGGCTCTATTGTATATATGTTCTTAAAGCTTTATATGGAGCCTGCTCTCACTTCTTCATTCCACTTCTGACTACTCTGAGACTGAAGAAATACTTCCTGACAGCCATGTAGCTAATCTGTGTCTCGAAGTATTTGAGAGACAAGAAACAGGTACTCAGGGACACAGGAGGGAACGAATCTGGCAAGTGCCAAGCACTAAGACTTGACTGCAATCTTAGGGTGGTCAGAAAGTGGAATGATCCTTATGAAAAAGTGGTGAAAGTGGAATGATCCTCATGAAAAAGTTGAGAGGTGGGGGCCAGGAGCTACATATAGGTGAGTACATATTTTCATACAGTGTAATTAGATTCTTTATTGATGATCTTTTGCCCATACGGTGGGCTTTATCAAGTTAGATTCACTTTGAGAGTGAGGGTGAGCTTATATACCTCGGAAACATAATGAAGAGAAAGCCAGGTTGAGTGTTGAAGCTTAACACCTTAGGTAGCTTTCAAAACAGGTTAGACAAACACCATACCTCATTGCACCCAACCTGACTTTTCACGTCACTATGATCCATAGATATATAAACTACTACTACTTACTACTACTTACTACTACTTACTACTACTTCCTCCTCCTCCTCCCTCCTCCCTCCTCCCTCCTCCTCCTCCTCCTCCTCCTCCTCCTCCCTCCTCCTCCCTCCTCCTCCCTCCTCCCTCCTCCCCCTCCTCCTCCCTCCTCCTCCCTCCTCCTCCTCCTCCTCCCTCCTCCTCCTCCCTCCTCCTCCCTCCTCCTCCCTCCTCCTCCCTCCTCCTCCCTCCTCCTCCCTCCTCCTCCCTCCTCCTCCCTCCTCCTCCCTCCTCCTCCCTCCTCCTCCCTCCTCCTCCCTCCTCCTCCCTCCTCCTCCCTCCTCCTCCCTCCTCCTCCCTCCTCCTCCCTCCTCCTCCCTCCTCCTCCCTCCTCCTCCCTCCTCCTCCCCTCCTCCTCCCTCCTCCTCCCTCCTCCTCCCTCCTCCTCCTCCTCCTCCTCCTCTCTCCTCCTCCTCCTCCTCCTCCTCCTCCTCCTCCTCCTCCTCCTCCTCCTCCTCCTCCTCCTCCTCCTCCTCCTCCTCCTCCCTCCTCCTCCTCCTCCTCCTCCTCCTCCTCCTCCTCCTCCTCCTCCTCCTCCTCCTCCTCCTCCTCCTCCTCCTCTCCCTCTTCCTCTTCCTCTTCCTCCTCCTCCCCCTCCTCCTCCTCCTCCTCCTCCTCCTCCTCCTCCTCCTCCTCCTCCTCCTCCTCCTCCTCCTCCACCACCACCACCACCACCACCACCACCACCACGTTAATCTGTTTGTGATTCGATAAAACCCACTGTGCAGGTGAAATGTTAGCAATAAATGATGGTATCATACTGTACTGCAATTCTTTTTTCCATTGTGTTGGCATATTATACCATTTCCCTCAAGCATAATGCATGCAAGATATTTTATTCATCTTAAATTATTTCAGGTTTTCCTCAAAAAAATTTAGAACAGGATGCACAGAAGCTATCATCTTATATTAACTCGAGACATCCACCGATGGAGGAAAATGAGTACAAGGAAAAACTTGCTGAAGTTGTTGAAACAGTCAAACAAGAAGGTATGTAGTAGTTAAGTAAATCATATTTTAAGTTCTTGTTACAAAGGTTTAAAATGTCTTACATATTCTTCGATTAGGAGTGCTGCCAATTCAGTCTGTAGTGAAGATTAGCATTTAATTTGAAATCTTCTATACAGAACAATAATTAAACAATAGTTCAACCCCAGAATTTGCTAGCCTTAGGTTCCTGGAGGCCTCATGAATCTTGATATTGAAGGTGACAGGAAATTTCACGTCAGAATTATTGAAATTTTGGTTACCCAATTTTAAGTTTCTCATGTATAGTCCAGTAATGTGTTTCAGTATAATTCCATGGCAACTACAACTGTCTTGCAACATAAGAAATAAGGAACACTGCAGCAGGCCTAATGGCTGATGTGAGGCAGGTCCAAGTCACCTCCTGGCTTAAACCAGTGACCCACCTAGTCAGGTCAGGTCACATCCACTTAAGGAAAGAGCACGGCATAAGACCTTTTATCACAAGCTAATCAGGTTCAGCTCACATCCACCCACACCCACTCATGTATTTGTCTAGCCTATTTTTAAAACTACACAATGTCTTAGCTTCTATGACGGTACTCCGGAGTTCCATTCATCCACAACTCTGTTACCAAAATAGTGCTTTCCTATATCCTTCATGAATCTGATTTTTTGTTACTTAAAAACATTGCTGCGTGTCCTGTCTTATCTAGATCATTTTAGCACGCTATTTACATTCCCTTTGTTTGTTCCTGTTTTCCATTTATACACCTCAGTCACATCCCCCCTAATTCTACGCCTTTCTAGAGAGTGCAGATTCAGGGCCCTCAGTCTGTCATCATGGGGAAGATTTCTGATACGTGCGATCAACTTTGTCATTCTCCTTTGTACGTTTTCACGTGTACTTATATCCATTCTGTAATACAGCGACCAGAACTGTACGGCATAATCTAAATGAGGCCTAACCAAAGAAATATAGAGTTGAAGAACGGCCTGAGGACTCCTATTATTTATGCTCTCTGATATGAAGCCACGGATTCTGTTCGCTTTATTGTGCACACATATGCACTGTTGTCTTGGTTTTAGATTACTGCTAACCAGAACTCTTAAATCCTTTTTTGCATTCAGTAATATTAAGATCTACACTATTTAGTTTATATGTGGCATGGTTATTTTTTTGTCCAGTGTTTAGAACCTTGCATTTGTCTATATTAAACTGCATCTGCCACTTCTCTGACCACTGCATCAGTCTATTCAAATCTTGCTGGAGTGCTCTAATGTCCTCGTTAGAATGAATTAGGTGACCTACTTTGGTGTCATCAGCAAACTTGCTTATGTCGCTGTTTATTCCCTCATCAGTGTCGTTTATATAAATTGTGAACAACAAATGGCCTAACACTGACCCTTGTGGAACACCATTCTTGATGTGCCCCCCACTCTGATTTGTCCCCATTGATGCAAATTCTGCTGCCTATCTGTCAACCATGCCTCTACCCAGGAAAAAATTTCTCCTCCTATTCCGTGTGCCTTAATTTTCCTCGGTAGCCTCTGATGCGGAACATTGCATAGCTCCTGATGATGCACAAAAGTGGGAAAGATCTAGAGCTAAAGATTTCCATTCCCATATGGCTTGTTCTGCAATGTATACTGATGTACAGTACAACATCCACAGAAATGTCCTCTTTGTAAATATACATCATTCACAGTTAAAGGGTTAAAGAGACATGGTCAAAAATAAAATGAAAGAGCCAAACCTTCCATGGAATTATGCTGAAAAATATTATTGTACTGTATATGGGAAACTTAAAATACTGTACCCAAAATTTCAATAATTCTGACATGGGAAATTTCCTGTCATCTTCAATATCAAGATTCATGTGGCCTCCAGGAATTGACTGCTATCAGCATATTTAAGGAGCTATGTTTTAAACTTAAGTCTATGTAAGCAACATTGATATCTGTAACATAACTCTACATGAGTGACATTGGTGTCAGTAAGGTAAATCTGTGTTAGAAAGGATGAAAGAGTTAAAATCTTTTATTTAGTTTTTATTATGAACTTTTACAATTTTTTTATTTTATTCCCATTATCAACATCTCTGAATTTTGCTGATATTTCCACATGGTAAAGCATATTACACAAGAATTTATGCTTTGAGCCTGTACAGTGTATTGTACATCCTTCAGTATGTAACTTGTTAATTTTCTCAAGAACCCCAACTAAATTCCTTTAAGTTGAACAAGACTTCTAATAAAAGCCTGTGTTGCAACCATGTGATCACCAAGTTAAAGGACCACCAGTGTGTGACTGGTGACAATGTGTACATTGTTAAGCAATATTTTTTTTTTTTTTTTTTCAACAAACCGGCCGTATCCCACCAAGGCAGGGTGGCCCAAAAAGAAAAACGAAAGTTTCTCTTTTTAAATTTAGTAATTTATACGGGAGAAGGGGTTACTAGCCCCTTGCTCCTGGCATTTTAGTCGCCTCTTACAACACGCATGGCTTACGGAGGAAGAATTCTGTTCCACTTCCCCATGTAGATAAGAGGAAATAAACAACAACAAGAACTAGAAAGAAAATAGAAGAAAACCCAGAGGGATGTGTATATATACATATATATGCTTGTACATGCATGTGTGACCTAAGTGTAAGTAGAAGTAGCAAGACGTACCTGAAATCTTGCATGTTTATGAGACAGAAAAAAAGGACACCAGCAATCCTACCATCATGTAAAACAATTACAGGCTTTCGTTTTACACTCACTTGGCAGGACGGTAGTACCTCCCTGGGCGGTTGCTGTCTACCAACCTACTACCTAGATTAAGCAATATTTATGCCAATAAAATGTTTAGCAGAGGCTGGCAGGCATCCTGCATAGCTTATTTGATTGTAGTTGCAGGTGGTGGGCCCTTACTTTAAAATAGTCCTTTCCTGTGAAGTTATACCTTCTGGATCTCTTGGATGTTCTCTTCACCTTTCCTTTGAGCACCTTTCCAATGACCAGGACATGACATACAAATAGTAGATACTCTACTCTTATTTTCATTGATGAAATTAGCAACAGTGTAACTATTTTTGTTCTGATATTGTCATACACAAAACTTTTGTCAAATCATTGCTCCTTTAGTATTGGAGAGTGAATTGAAAAATACATTGGTAGATAATGCTCTCAGAGGAATTAGATTAATCAGATGTCATCCTCCCAAAACTTTAATTATAATGATATGAATGTTATTCCTAGGTAGTAGGTTGGTAGACAGCAACCGCTCAGGGAGGTACTACCGTCCTGCCAAGTGAGTGTAAAATGAAAGCCTGTAATTGTTTTACATGATGGTAGGATTGCTGGTGTCCTTTTTTCTGTCTCATAAACATGCAAGATTTCAGGTATATCTTGCTACTTCTCCTTACACTTAGGTCACACTACACATACATGTACAAGCATATACATGTCCATACATATACAAGCATATACAAGTATATACACACCCCTCTGGGTTTTCTTCTATTTTCTTTCTAGTTCTTGTTTATTTCCTCTTATCTCCATGGGGAAGTGGAACAGAATTCTTCCTCCGTAAGCCATGCGTGTTGTAAGAGGCGACTGAAATGCCGGGAGCAAGGGGCTAGTAACCCCTTCTCCCCTATAAATTACTAAATTTAAAAAGAGAAACTTTCGTTTTTCTTTTTTGGGCCACCCTGCCTTGGTGGGATACGGCCGGTTTGTTGAAAAAAAAAAAATGAATGTTATTGTCTTATTTTGCAGAGACTATTGACCCAATGTCTCCTGGACTGGTAGAGGAAGAAAGGAAACGGTTATTAGACTCGAGAAGATCTAAGGTGTATGAGAAAATGAAGAGAGAAACTTATAAGTGGAAAGCTATCGACTATAATGAGTACAAGTAAGGGTTATTATCATGTTTACTCCAAATATTTAAGGTCAGAGGCATATAAAATTATAAATAGGATATGTCCCATGTTCAGCAAGCAGTATCCAGCTGTGGTGTTGATTTTCAATTGCATCAAGCTGCTCTTAATAATCTTGCATAATGTACATTATAGTGAATTATGCAGTGTGGTACACATATTTTAATAACTTAAGTAATTGCATAGGGCATTATGCTCAAGTATTATTAGGAATGAACTATTCTGTGTTCTTATAGACTGTATAGTAATATACTGGTAAAAGGATGTTGTTAAAAAAATGCTTTATTTCTCTCTAGTGGAGTGAAAAATCCCTGGTGAGTGAAACATCTCCTTAATAAATATCCTAATACCACTTTATTGCCTTGCTCACATGTACTGTATTTGTAATTACTGTCTATTTATACATGCTCATTTACTTACTTATTTTAGTATTTAGAAGCTTAGTTTTAATTTGCAAAGGTAGAGCTTTATTATTTCTATGTACATTAAGTTCCCTCTCTGAAATCTTTCAAACTTTGTGCTTTCAAAACACCACCTTTGATTATTACAGGTCAGCTGCATATGTTGTTGCACGTTTAGCTCCAGACTTCGCTTCATTAACAAAACTACTGCGGGAGATTAAGAAACGGGATCCGGAGTTCTGTCCTGTCCACTTGCTGGATTTTGGGTCTGGGGTCGGCTCTAGCATGTGGTGAGTACACATCATGAGTTGAAATACTGGCAGGAAAGGGATATAAATATAGGGATTAAGAGAGATTAATCACACACCTAGGAAGAACAAAATCCTTTGAGAGAAACAAGGTTTCGGGAAGGAAAAGTTGAGTCTTTTAATCCTTATAGATAACAGTAGACACCCACCTTTTGCACCAGCTAGGTTCCAGAAAAACAGAGGTACGTGTGAAAAAACGTGATGGGTTTTGTGAATAACTTATTGGAAGAATTGAGTTATGTGCCATGACACCTTGAAAAAATGCCATACTAGTTTTTTAATTCTTAAATCATCAATACAGGAGGCCCTCCACATTCGCGACGGTTAGGGGATCAAGAACCTCATGAATCTTAAAAATTTGCGTATGTTTTGTGCGCAAATATGATGTAGGGAAATATAATAATACTGTACTGTAACGTTCGCGAATGCTTTGATGCGCAAATATATTGTAGGGAAATATAATAAAAGCATTTATTTAACCTAACAATACTGCTTCCTTAACCTGTTGAACCACGAACAATCATAAAACACATGAAAACACCATAAAATTTTGTACGTATATACATGTTATGGTTTAATAACAAATAATGCAGCTGAGCATTTGCGAATGTTCGAAGCTCTCAAAAGTGGAGGGCTAGCTGTATTATTAAAGTTTTTGATAATTTATATTGCAGATGTTGATTCTTGTTGATCAAGGAAAGTTTGGAGAGGGTTCATGTTTCTCTTCTAGGTCTAGTTGGATGTAGTGAACTTTAGACTCTTAAACATATGTACAGTGTTTGACTAAAATGGGTTATCCAAGGTTAAATTGACAAAATATACTTGTTATGCACACGTGTGCCATCAAGACCATTATAAAATAATTAAGATATTTACCCAAAATGGCCGACTTATTGAAAAAAAAAAGTAAGGCTCTTGAGAGAAGCATGTTTGACACGGTTACCATATATTCCTTCCATAGAAAATGGACATGCTCCTTCCAGAAACATTTGACATGGCTAATACAATGCCCGAGGCTATTTATCTTCACCACACAATTTTCCTGTTTTTATTTTAAAAATGCTCAGACTTTGACACTTATTCCTTTTTTAACACCTCCAGTATTACTAGTATTCCTTTTTTTTAAGCCATAGTTAATATCCAGAGACAAAGCAAGGTGATAAAAAAATAGTGACTATCAGAGTAGGTGGGTCAAGGGTGAGGGATGGTGGGTCTGAGTGAAGCAGCCACCCCACCACTGTCTCTCAAGACAGTGAGAATTCAACATCTTTTGGTTACTTGTGGTTTTCAACTATTAAATCTGTTGAAAGTTGAAAGTGAACATAGAAAAGAGTAAGGTGATGAGGGTATCAAATGATTTAGATAAAGAAAAATTGGATATCAAATTGGAGAGGAGGAGTATGGAAGAAGTGAATGTTTTCAGATATTTGGGACTTGACGTGTCAGCGGATGGATTTATGAAGGATGAGGTTAATCATAGAATTGATGAAGGAAAAAAGGCGAGTGGCGCATTGAGGTATATGTGGAGACAAAAAACGTTATTTATATAGGCAAAGAAGGGAATGTATGAAAGTATAGTAGTACCAGCACTCTTATATGGGTGTGAAGCTTGGGTTGTAAATGCTGCAGCGAGGAGGCAGTGGAGATGTCCTGTCTAAGGGCAGTGTGTGGTGTGAATATTATGCAGAAAATTTGGAGTGTGGAGTTAATAAAAGTATTAGTCAGAAAGCTAAAGAGGGGTTGTTGAGGTGGTTTGGTCATTTAGAGAGAATGGATCAAAGTACAATGACATGGAGAGCGTATAAATCTGTAGGGGAAGGAAGGTGGGGTAGGGGTCGTCCTCAAAAAGGTTGGAGGGAGGGGGTAAAGGAGGTTTTGTGAGCGAGGGGCTTGGACTTCCAGCAAGCCGGACTTGAGTCCTGGAAATGGGAAGTACGATGCCTGCACTCTAAAGGAGGGGTTTGAGATATTGGCAGTTTGGAGGGATATGTTGTGTATCTTTATATGTATATGCTTCTAAACTGTTGTATTCTGAGCACACAATACACAAATAACCCGCACATAAAAGAGAGAAGCTTACGACGACGTTTCGGTCCGACTTGGACCATTGACCGACGACCGAAACGTCGTCGTAAGCTTCTCTTTTATGTGCGGGTTATTTGTGTATCGTTCCAGTCACGGTATTGTGCCTTTTTGTTATTTATGTATTCTGAGCACTTCTGTAAAAACAGTGATTATATGTGAGTGAGGTGAAAGTGTTGAATAATGATGAAAGCATTTTCATTTTGGGGATTTTTTCTTTCTTTTTTGGGTCACCCTGCCTCGGTGGGAGACGGCCGACTTGTTGAAAAAAATAAAAAATCTTTCAAATAAATGTGAGCACTATACATATATAGAGAGCGGTTGTATACAAAATATGAATGCATTTGGTTTCAAACTAACAGGAAATAATGCTGTTAATAACTCAGCCTTAATAAAAACGTAAATATAAAATCTTTGGTTCTCGACGAATCTTAACCAAACAAATATGAGCTCTCAGTGCATGCATAAATGCAAAGTACGAATAATTCATATATCAAAACTAGACTGATAGAAATGAAAAAGGAAAAGATAGTGATTGCAATGGGTGGTTAACCTCTGGAACAAAAGATGGAAATAGATACAAAAAAATAATCCTAAACCGGCAGAAATGCAGTAATGAAGGTGTGAAAAGTAGTGGTCTACTGTTCATGAAAAACTAACAGAGATTAAATATGAAAGAACAAATTAACTGTTTATGCCAGTGCTGTGAAGAACACTGCTAAACAAGGTCTGCTTTATGAATGCTCATATAAATCACTTTATTGATATTTAATGAGAAATTGGTAAAAAAAAAAAAAAATCAAGTGGGTCTGTATTGGATGATCACATATAAATGAAAAAGCACAGAGACAACCCACTCCAATCGCATAAGAGTGAATTTTTGCTGCATATAGCGAATTCCTGGTAGAAATAGGGTCTTGCACAGAAGTGAAATAACACAGAAATCTACATTAATGAGAGGGGAAACCTATATATATATATACAGTGGACCCTCAACCAGCGATATTAATCCGTTCCTGAGAGCTCATTGTTAGTCAAAATAATCGTTAGTCAAGTTAATTTTCCCCATAAGAAATAATGGAAATCAAATTAATCCGTGCAAGACACCCAAAAGTATTGAAAAAACAAAAATTTTACCACATGAAATATTAATTTTAATACACACAAACTGAAGATTACATGCACAGTTACATGACACTTACCTTTATTGAAGATCTGGTGATGATTGATGGGATGGGAGGAGGGGAGAGCGTCATCTTCTTACTGTTTAGAAGGGGAATCCCCTTCCATTAGCACTTGAGGCAGCAAGTCTTTTTCTGGGGTTACTTCCCTTGTTCTTTTAATGCCACTAGGACCAGCTTCAGAGTCACTGGACTTCTGTCGCACAACATATCTGTCCATAGAGGCCTGTACCTCTCGTTCCTTTATGACTTTCCTAAAGTGGTTCACAACATTGTCATTGTACAGGTTGCCAACACGGCTTGCAGTAGCTGTGTCAGGGTGATTATCATCCATAAAGCTTTGCACTTTAAGCCACATTGCACAGATTTCCTTAATCTTAGAAGTAGGCAACTTCTTCAATTTCTCTCTCCCCTCCTCCGAAGCAGTTTCCTCAGGTCTGCCCTCTTGCTGTTCAAGATAATCTAGCAGCTCATCAGTGGTTAGTTCTTCACTGTCCTCCACCACCAACTCTTCCACATCCTCCCCACTAACCTCCAACCCAAAGGACTTCCCCAATGCCACAATGGATTTCTCAACTGGCATAGGATTCTCAGGGTTAGCCTCAAACCCTTCCAAATCCCTTTTGTCTACACATTCTGGCCACAGTTTTTTCCAAGCAGAGTTCAATGTCCTCTTAGTCACTTCCTCCCAAGCCTTACCTATAATGTTTACACAATTGAGGATGGTAAAATGATCTTTCCAAAACTCTCTTAGTCAGTTGAGTTTCTGAGGTCACTACAAAGCACCTTTCAAACATAGCTTTTGTGTACAGTTTCTTGAAGTTGGAAATAACCTGCTGGTCCATGGGCTGCAGGAGAGGAGTGGTATTAGGAGGCAAAAACTTCACCTTAATGAAGCTCATGTCCCTAGAAAGTCGCTCTGCCACATCTGTAGGATGACCAGGGGCATTGTCTAATACCAGGAGGCACTTAAGGTCTAATTTCTTTTCGATTAGGTAATTTTTCACATCGGGGGCAAATGCATGGTGTAACCAGTCATAGAAAAAGTCCCTAGTGACCCATGCCTTTCTGTTTGCCCTCCACAGCACACACAAATTAGCCTTGAGAACATTGTTTTTCCTGAATACTCTGGGGGTTTCAGAGTGATACACCAATAAAGGCTTCACTTTGCAATCACCACTAGCATTGGCACACATCAACAAAGTAAGCCTGTCTTTCATAGGCTTATGTCCTGGAAGTGCCTTTTCCTCCTGAGTAATGTATGTCCTGCTTGGCATTTTCTTCCAAAACAGGCCTGTTTCGTCACAATTAAACACTTGTTCAGGTTTCAGTCCTTCACTGTCTATGTACTCCTTGAAGTCCTGCACATATTTTTCAGCCGCTTTGTGGTCCGAACTGGCAGCCTCACTATGCCTTATCACACTATGAATGCCACTACGCTTCTTAAATCTCTCAAACCAACCTTTGCTGGCCTTAAATTCACTCACATCACTAGTTGCTGGCATTTTTTTAATTAAATTGTCATGCAACTTAGTAGCCTTTTCACATATGATCGCTTGAGAGATGCTGTCTCCTGCTATCTGTTTCTCGTTTATCCACACCAATAAAAGTCTCTCAACATCTTCTATCACTTGCGATCTCAGTTTCGAAAACATAGTTGCACCTTTGGCAAGAACAGCTTCCTTGATTGCCGTTTTCTTGCCCACAATAGTAGCGATGGTTGATTGGGGTTTATTATACAACCTGACCAGCTCAGAGATACGCACTCCACTTTCATATTTATCAATGATCTCTTTCTTCATCTCCATAGTTATTTTCACCCTTTTTTGCTGTAGGGTTGGCACTAGAAGCTTTCTTGGGGCCCATGGTGACTTATTTTGCAGGTGCAATCACTAAAAAGGCTGTGATAATATGAAATGTTCCAGTTGTATGTTTGGAAGCGACCGCGGTGGCTGGCTGGCTTGTAAACACTGGCACCAAAGGGACAAGTGAGGCGCGCTCGGGCCAAAGTGGATGCATATGGTACGGAACGAAAAGCGCTGGTCGGGTTTTTAAGCGCTATTCAAGGCAAAATTTTTGCGTTTAAATGAATTGCTAGTCAGATTTATCGTTAATCGAAGCCATCGCTGGTTGAGGGTCCACTGTATATATATATATATTTTTTTTTTTTTTTTTTTTTTCAACAAGTCGGCCATCTCCCACCGAGGCAGGGTGACCCAAAAAAGAAAGAAAATCCCCAAAAAAGAAAATACTTTCATCATCATTCAACACTTTCACCACACTCACACATTATCACTGCTTTTGCAGAGGTGCTCAGAATACAACAGTTTAGAAGCATATACGTATAAAGATACACAACATATCCCTCCAAACTGCCAATATCCCAAACCCCTCCTTTAAAGTGCAGGCATTGTACTTCCCATTTCCAGTATCATGTGGGGTTCGAACACGTGGATTGGGTAAAGAATACTCACGTAGGCTGGAAGTACGTATATTGTAACTGAAAGTATGTGGAAGGCGCCACAGCCGAACCTGCCTCTCTCTGCCCCTTGGCTAGACCGACTGAGAGTGCCCATGGGCGAGGGGGCGCTTGAAATCCTGCTAAGTCAGCAACAATATGAATACAGCCAGTGATTCACGCAGAGACGGTTGGTAGTGAGTCATCTACTGGTACACTGGTTACTGGTAACTGGTTACTACTACTGAGAGCTCGGCGATCTTCACATCCATATAAGAGTGTTGGTACTACTATACTTACATACATTCCCTTCTTTGTCTCCATAGATAACGTTTTTTGACTCCACATATACCTCAACGCACCACTCACCTTTTTTCCCTCATCAATTCTATGATTAACCTCATCCTTCATAAATCCATCCGCCGACACGTCAACTCCCAAGTATCTGAAAACATTCACTTCTTCCATACTCCTCCTCCCCAATTTGATATCCAATTTTTCTTTATCTAAATCATTTGATACCCTCATCATCTTACTCTTTTCTATGTTCACTTTCAACTTTCTACCTTTACACACATTCTCAAACTCATCCACTAACCTTTGCAATTTTTCTTTAAAATCTCCCATAAGCACAGTATCATCAGCAAAAAATATATAAATATATATATATATATATATATATATATTATATATATATATATATATATATATATATATATATATATATAATATACATATGCAAAACAACCACTCTGAAAGAATAAGAAATTCCAAGCGCTTTCGTGACTACTCACATTATCAAGGAACTATCATAGTTCCTTGATAATGTGAGTAGTCACGAAAGCGCTTGGAATTTCTTATTCTTTCAGAGTGGTTGTTTTGCATATTCTAAAATCACCTGTTTACTGTGATCTTATTGTGTGTGTGTGTGTGTGTGTGTGTGTGTGTGTGTGTGTGTGTGTGTGTGTGTGTGTGTGTGTGTGTAGATCAGGTGTTTACATTGAAGCATATATGTGAACAGTATTTAGATAAAGATAGGGAGGTTTTTATTGCATTTATGGATTTAGAAAAGGCATATGATAGAGTGGATAGAGGAGCAATGTGGCAGATGTTGCAAGTATATGGAATAGGTGGTAAGTTATTAAATGCTGTAAAGAGTTTTTATGAGGATAGTGAGGCTCAGGTTAGGGTGTGTAGAAGAGAGGGAGACTACTTCCCGGTAAAAGTAGGTCTTAGACAGGGATGTGTAATGTCACCATGGTTGTTTAATATATTTATAGATGGGGTTGTAAAGGAAGTAAATGCTAGGGTGTTTGGGAGAGGGGTGGGATTAAATTATGGGGAATCAAATTCAAAATGGGAATTGACACAGTTACTTTTTGCTGATGATACTGTGCTTATGGGAGATTCTAAAGAAAAATTGCAAAGGTTAGTGGATGAGTTTGGGAATGTGTGTAAAGGTAGAAAGTTGAAAGTGAACATAGAAAAGAGTAAGGTGATGAGGGTGTCAAATGATTTAGATAAAGAAAAATTGGATATCAAATTGGGGAGGAGGAGTATGGAAGAAGTGAATGTTTTCAGATACTTGGGAGTTGACGTGTCGGCGGATGGATTTATGAAGGATGAGGTTAATCATAGAATTGATGAGGGGAAAAAAGGTGAGTGGTGCGTTGAGGTATATGTGGAGTCAAAAAACGTTATCTATGGAGGCAAAGAAGGGAATGTATGAAAGTATAGTAGTACCAACACTCTTATATGGGTGTGAAGCTTGGGTGGTAAATGCAGCAGCAAGGAGACGGTTGGAGGCAGCGGAGATGTCCTGTCTAAGGGCAATGTGTGGTGTAAATATTATGCAAAAAATTCGGAGTGTGGAAATTAGGAGAAGGTGTGGAGTTAATAAAAGTATTAGTCAGAGGGCAGAAGAGGGGTTGTTGAGGTGGTTTGGTCATTTAGAGAGAATGGATCACAGTAGAATGACATGGAAAGCATATAAATCTATAGGGGAAGGAAGGCGGGGTAGGGGTCGTCCTCGAAAGGGTTGGAGAGAGGGGGTAAAGGAGGTTTTGTGGGTAAGGGGCTTGGATTTCCAGCAAGCGTGCGTGAGCGTGTTAGATAGGAGTGAATGGAGACGAATGGTACTTGGGACCTGACGATCTGTTGGAGTGTGAGCAGGGTAATATTTAGTGAAGGGATTCAGGGAAACCGGTTATTTTCATATAGTCGGACTTGAGTCCTGGAAATGGGAAGTACAATGCCTGCACTTTAAAGGAGGGGTTTGGGATATTGGCAGTTTGGAGGGATATGTTGTGTGTCTTTATATGTGTATGCTTCTAGACTGTTGTATTCTGAGCACCTCTGCAAAAACAGTGATAATGTGCGAGTGTGGTGAAAGTGTTGAATGATGATGAAAGTATTTTCTTTTTGGGGATTTTCTTTCTTTTTTGGGTCACCCTGCCTCGGTGGGAGACGGCCGACTTGTTGAAAAAAAAAAAAAAAAAAAAAAATATATATATATATATATATATATATATATATATATATATATATATATATATTATTTATATTTATATTTATTTATTTTAAAAAATTTCTATGTGATAAAATAAACTTACATGTATTTTTTTGTGACAGGGCAGTGGATAAAACTTGGCCCGGTGCATGTAAAGAAGCTGTTTGTGTTGATTCCAGTGCTGAAATGAACAACGTGGCAGACAAGTTGTTGCGAGGTGGAGACTCAAAAAATCCCTTGAATGTGAGGCCTGGAGGAACATTCTTCAAGCAGTTTGTGCCAATGTCCAGTACTCGCAAATATGACTTGGTAACTTGTTCGCGCTCTCTTTTTGAACTTCCAGATATAGCAGCCAGACTTCGCACAATAGATATACTTTGGCGGAAAACTCACAGTTACTTGCTAATCGTAGAAGCTGGATCAAATGCAGGATATAGGTTAGTTTTGGAGGCACGGGATTATGTTCTTGAATTAAGCAGGCGAGCTCATGAGGAAGGTGAATCTAATCCTACAGGATATGTTTTTTCGCCATGTTCACATGACAAATTTTGTCCACGATATTTGGATGGGACTAACATTCCCTGCAACTTTGAAGTCTCATATAGGCCATTTAGTATTAATAGGAAAATAAATGCCCTAAAAGACAGATTTAGTTATGTAATAATAAAACGGGGAAAGCGAAATGAGGATGTTGACCAACAGTGGCCTCGAGTGATACAGAATCCTTCACTGAAAAAAAAACATGTTATATGCCATTTATGTACAAAATATGGTACACTCCAAGAATTGACAGTGACAAAACGTAGACACGGTAAAGCATGTTACAGTGTGAGCAAGAAAGCATCATGGGGTGATTTGTTTCCTGTGGTTCTTCCAGAACCTGAGTTAACACAAGCAACTGAATCTACAGATATCATCACTGAAAATGGGGACGATCTTGGTAACAAAGAAAACATTGGAAAGGAAGACATGTGAATTTCATACTTTACTAGGGTAATAACAAAATTGACTTGTTCTCTTTTATGTTTAGTTTATTTAAATTTAATGCTTGGTTAGTATTTAAGATTTTTTAATATTTTTAAATCTGGAAAAGTCAGATACGTATTTAAAAATGATGGCTACTTTATCATTTATTTTTCAGCTTTTAATATTCCCAGCAGTGCAGCAGTACTGTTGAATTTTCCATTGTATTATATTAATTTTTGTACAGTTTAGTATCTGTAAATTAAATATATTAATTAAATTGTATCAATTTGTATTATCTTCATCCCTCACAGTACTAACAGCATCATGGAGGCTGCATTACTAACATCCCTTGGATTTCTTATTAAATGTTGAGGGAAAGCTGCTGCTGTATAGTGATATTCCAGTGACTGATTTCAGACCATTCTACTCTCAAAGACCAACATGAAAAACTGTTGTAGGGAGGGCATAGTAGGTAAGCTTGCAATACCAAAGGTAAGCGAGATGTGGGGGGGCTCTTTATAATATTGTGCCATATGTTCTCCACATTTAAGGTACACCCCAATTTTAGCAGGTATATTCTGGGGGGAAAAAAATGCAGTACTTGCTTCACAATGATAGTGAGCCAGTGGCTGGCTGCTTATCCACACAAAAATAGCTGAAAGAGGTGGGACCTTGTGCAGCCTGTCACCTGCTCCACCATCATCCACTAAAATAAATGTGGTTACCTGTTTACAGATGGCTTCCTTACAAATTATTTATAAATTAGACACACATGCAACTCTTGGGTATCTTTATTAAGGAAACGTTTCGCCACACAGTGGCTTCATCAGTCCATACAAAGGAGAATCTTGAAGAACAGAAGGAGAATGAGGTAATCAGTCCCTCAACCTTGAGTCGATGTGGTCAGTCCATCAATCTTGAATAGAATACGGCATACGTGCGGAGAAGGAGCTTATAAACCGTTGGTAGGAGAGGTGCAGCAGTCATAGGTTGTGTCACATTTGTTCAGTGTGGAAGTAGGTCATGCCCAAGAGTTAGGCAAGCGAAGAATTCCCAAGTATTAAGATCCCAAGAAGTTGCAGAGTCTGACAGGTTTGTAGATGAATGGTCCAGAGAATCGACATGTTGATAAATTAGACACAACCTATGACTGCTGCACCTCTCCTACCAACGGTTTATAAGGTCCTTCTCCGCACGTATGCCGTATTCTATTCAAGATTGATGGACTGACCACATCGACTCAAGGTTGAGGGACTGATTACCTCATTCTCCTTCTGTTCTTCAAGATTCTCCTTTGTATGGACTGATGAAGCCGCTGTGTGGCGAAACGTTTCCTCAATAAAGATACCCAAGAGTTGCATGTGTGTCTAATTTATCAACATGTCGGTTCTCTGAACCATTCATCTACAAACAAATTATTTAAAAGTGCTGAAGCTAGTTTGCTTATTATTTACCATGTAATATGTAAATTATAATTTATAATATTTACTAATCGCTTTAAATACTCTGGAAAACAGTTTTGTGATGGGGGGTAGTTAACCATTACTGCAGCACTGAAATCACCACTTGTCAGTAACCCAGTGCCTACACTTGGGTCTGACCTTAACCGTGTAAGACGCTGGGTGATTTTCTTGAGACCTTATTTTGGGGGAAAAATCTCACCTTGTATGCCGGCAAATATAGTGTATAGAAAGGGGTTTGATATTAGATAGTACTTATTAAGCATACAAAGTATAATGAAGTGTGCAGTGACAGCAGTTTACTAGACTGGATTGGTGGATAAAAGGTTGATGGTAAGTCTTTTGAATGTGCATGTTTTTAGAGTGACTGATATATCAAATCAATATTTAGTGGTAGCCACTAAAAACGTAAATGTAATGCAAGGAGAATGGTGTCAAAGTGGGCAAGAGAGTAGTGAAAGTGAATAAACAAAAGAAGGAGAATTATTAGTGGGAAGATGAGCAACTGTTGAAAGACTGGGCTAGAGAGCACAGGTAATGAGGTATGGTGTAGATGTTGTGATTACTAAAAACAGGTGCCATTGAGATGAATAACTGGTGGAACGATGAGGTAAAAAAAAAAGGTGTAAAGGAGAAAAAATACCATATAAATATTTTTCATGGATGTAAGGAAGGCACAGTATATGGAAAAAGAGGTTATTTTTTCTGGGGAAGTGCTAAACCTGTAGGAGTCATACAGCATCTGAGGAATGGGAGGCAGTCAGGTTTGAGCCAAAGGGGAGAGTGACCCCAATTCCTTGCATCAAGAGCCCTTCACCAGCATCAAGACTAGTGAAGGAAAATTAAATTAAACAGCAAATTTTATTAAGAATAAGAAACATTTTGGAGAGAGATTGGGATGTTGTGAAAGGTTGAGTATTAGGTGGACTTAGTAGTTAAGACTACAACTGATGAAGTTTTAAATGGGGAGGTGAAAGTATCCAAAAGATGAAGAGAACACTTTGTTGATGAAAGGGAGGCAGTGATTTCATGCATTGTGCAGGGAGAAATAAGATCTGGTGGGAGTAGGGAAGAACCAGATGCGAGTATGGAGGCAGCAAGAAAGGCAGTCAGTAGGATAAAAAGAGGTAAAGCAGCTGGGATAGATGTGATTAAGACTTGAGATGCTGAAAGCAGGCTGAGATATAGTTTTGGAGTGGTTAATGTATTTGCTTAATATATGCATGAAAGAATAGAAGGAATCCAAGGACTTGCAGAAGCATGCATAGTTCTTTTGTATAAGGACATAGAGAAAAAAATACATGCAAGAATTATAGGGGGATTGAATTTTTTGTGTATACCGAGTATAGTGTATATTAGAGATATCGCTGAAAGGAAAGCAAAACAAAAAGAAAGACTGTAAAGGAACAACGAGGATTTAGTTAGGGTAGGGATTTGTGTTGACCAAGTGTTTACATAAAAAAAATATGCTGCGAGTTAATAATATTTAGATAAAAGTAAGGAACTGTTTTATGCATTTATGGAGTTTGTTTAGGCATGTGTTAGGTGGCTTAGGGATCAGTGTGGCAGTAAAGTTGTTGTGAGGAAAGACTCTGGTTAGGGTCCTCTCAAGAGGTGTCTTAATGCCAGAGAATTATTCTTATCAAAAAAAAAAAGGAACAACCCTCTGTTACCTGAATCAAATCTAATTGCTACCCATTATCCAATGACACTGTATGACCCTTACAGGTTTAGTTTTCCCTCTTCATGTGTGTCACAATAATCAGATTAAAGTATGTAGGAGAGATGATTCCATCCAATATTTATTAATTATGGTTTTCTTAACATATTGGCTGCCTCCCACCGAGGTCAAGTGACCCCATAAAAAGGAAACGCATTCACCTTCTGTGGAAAAAGACACGTGTGCAGTTCAGGACATTTATGGAAACTTTTGGCCACAAGTGGCTTCTTCAGTCCTAGGACTGAAGAAGCCAAATGTTTCCTTTAATAAATGTCCTGAACTATACACAAGTGTCTTTTTCCACATCTCAGTATCACCATACCATTTCTCACATTCACCATCATTCATCAAATAGATGTCTTGCTAGAAATGTACAGACATCACAATTCATATGCCTCTCCAAACTGAAACATCACCATCTCTCCTTTGGTGTACGAGCACTCTACTTCCCATCTCCATGATTCATTTCTGGCTAATGAGTTTCTCTAAATGAATTCATAAATATTACCTTGTTCACATTCCAATAGCACTTCAACCCATGAAAACCACTTTTCTTCATTCCAAGCTAACACCCGCACACAAGCCTGCTGAAAGTTCAAACCTTGAGCACTCAAAATGTTTACCTCCCCTTCCTTCCCTCCAACCCTTCTTGGGACAACCTCTCCTCTTTTCCACACCCTGACTGTTTTCAGTCTCTAAATGCCCAAATCACCTGAAAAACCTCTCCTAGGCCCTCTGAATTATACTTTTGTTAACCCCACACCATCCTCTAATTTCTATGCACTGAATTTTTTGCATAATAGTCACATTACACTTTATCCTCAAGCATGACATCTGCACTGCTTCCAAGCTCCTCAGGACTATAACATTGAAAACCCATGCTTCACACCAGTATAAGTGTTGGGGTGACTATACTCTGGTACATTGCCCCTTCTTGCCTCCATGAATATATGTAGTTCTTTCTGTCCATGGATGCCTTGACACCACCATCTCTTCTCTCCACATCTATTCTATGGCTCACCTCAGTCTTCATTAGGGATGTGTCAAGGTATCAGTTTCACTATCATTAGTATTAGTTGAATTTGATAGTATTGGAATCAGCCTAAAATTTAGTATTGGTACTGGCAAATGTTTAGTATCATCCCATCTGTAATCTTCATACACCTATCTGCCAACAGGTAAACATCCAAATATGCAAATACATTCACTTCTTCTTTCATTGCCTATACTTCTGAACAGTGGCAGCTCATGTATAGGCACTGTGGAACTGCAGCACCCCCTATTTTCACTCGATATTACTGATTAACATTCAATATAATGAGTCTTTTTTGTTACTTTAATTCTTTCTTTATACCTGTACATTATATAATCTTTAAGCTTAATGTCAGTAGCCATCCCCTAGTACATGAAAAAATTGCAAAATCCTTGTATGGAACTGTGCTCTTCACAGTTCCAGCGACTCAGCGTTTGGCTGTTGTGCGCCTCCACACGTCTGAGATAAGACGCTGCACGCTAGGTAGAGAGAGCACTGTCGCTGATGCAGTGCCAACCTTGTGCACGTGCAAGGTAGCGTTTCTTTTTGACTCGGCGACATGTGTTGTGCTTAAAAACCACATGCCATATTCTTGAATATGATAAAGTGCAGAATTAGATGATTATCATGCTTCCAGGCATTTTATTTAATTCAGAGTTTCTTTTTGGTTCTCTTATTTTACACAATATTAAAACAATGGCTAAAAATTTTCTGAAGCAGTACCTCCACTAATTTTAGCTACGAGCCACCACGGCTTCCGAATACATTCACTTTCCTTTCAGTGTCTGTACTGTTTTGTTACTCTTCCTTGCTCTTTCCTATGTTCACTTTTAATTTCCTCCTTTTACATACCCTCCCAAATTCATCCACCAACCTTTGTTTGCAACTTCTCTTCAAAATTTTCTGTAAGAACTTTGTCATTTGCAAAGAGTATTTGTGACAACTCCCACTTCATATCAGAACAATTATCCTCTAATTCCACATCTCTTCCCAACACCCCAGGATTCACTGTTTTACATCCCTATCTGTAAATATGTTAGACAGTCATATTGACTTCATACATTCTTATGCATGTCGTAAGGGATGACTAAAATGCCAGGAGCAAGGGGCTAGTAACCATTTCTATATAAATTAATTTTAAAAAGAGAAATATTCATTTTTCTTTTTAGGTCATCCTGCCTTGGTTGGTCATGACTGGTTCATTGAAATGAAAAACCTTGCACTATTATCCCTTTTTCCTTATACAATGGCACTATACATCCTTTCTGCTAATCCTTAGGTACCTTCCCTTCTTTCATGAATATGTTGAACAAATATGCCAACCACTCCAAAACTATATCCCCACCTACTTTTAACATGTCCAACTCTCAACTGTACCATCTCCTTTATCCCTTTTATTCTGCTCGCTGCCTCACAGACTTCCCATACATTTCCCTCTGGCTTTACCCTTACTCCTACAAGTTGTTATTCTTCCCTGCCCAATGTATGAAATCAGTCTTCTTTCCTTCATCAGCATTTAACAGCTACTCAGAATATTCTTTCCAGCTTCCCAGTGGCTCCACTTCCAACATCTTATTTTTCACTGCCAAATCTATCTGCTTCTCAGACATTATCAATTTATTAACCTCACTCAAAAATGTTTTATTTTCAGCAAAATTTGCTGGTAAAGCCTTACCCATTTCTCATTGACTCTTTTGCATGCTCTCACCACCTCTTTTTTTTTTTATTATTAGATTAATGAGGAAGCCCTCAATCTATATGGGTCATAGAGCACCTGGGAAATGAAAAAAAAATCAGGTTTCATCCAAGGAAAGGGAAGACAGGTCAAATTCCTTGCTTAAAGAACACGTGTGTAATGTGTGGCATAACAGTGGTTATTAAAAGATTTATGGGAAGTGCTACTAAACCTTTATGGGTCATACACCACCTGGGGAACAAGCAATTGGAGTCAGTCAGGTTTGATTCAAGGGAAAGGTAGCTCCATTTTCCTGGATCATGGTAATTGTTACTTCAGTGAGTGCTAGTGTTGAAAGGTGTGGACTTAAAATGAATCTAGTATGAATTAAGATGTAGTATGTCACAGCTGCTCTTTACTAATCAAGTGTTTTTGAGAGATAATAAAGAGAAGCTGCAAAGTAATGATGTTGAGGCAGGTGAAAGTGAACATAGAAGAAAGGTGATGCAAGAAAGTCTGCCATGCAAAAAAAAGTACACCAGATTGGAGGGTGGAATTATGGAGGAAGTAAATGTATTTAGGTATTTGGAAGTGGATATTTCACCAGCAGACTAATAAATGGAAGCAACAAGGGGAATGTTCTTGAACTTACTGTAGTGATAGCAGCACTTTTAGATAGGAGGTGCCTTTCTAATTCACCGAGATATTATGTTTGAGAACGGTCAGAACGTATAGAATTAGGATGGTACTTCATGCAAAAGCAAACCTTTAATATGAATGTTTAGCTCTGCTTAGAGCTTTATCAAATCATTAGAGTAATGCAACAGGATATTATATACAAGGTGAGTAGAGAAAAAAGAAAGGTTAAGGTTAGATGAAATATGTGGTGGTGATGTGTACAGGCATTAGTCTCTTCTATTTGTTGTTGGGTTTTCTTTCTAAGGGGAGCTTGGCAAGTGGCTTCATAAAACTAAGTACCCCTTTATTTTAGTATTTAGTGTTTGGGACTTGTATGATTGCAGTTCCCAAACCCTGCATTCTAGTTCTGTTGTCTTCTTTGACAAGTGCTGCATGTGGCCAAGATGTGTGTGTGTTTGTCTTTACGTATAATACAGGCATTGCTCTGATTCCAAGCTTTACATATATACTTATATGTCACGTTTCACATCACACCCTCTGTAAGGGTTCATATACACTCTTTGCTTCTTGTGGTGGTGGTTGGCATTTGATATGGTTTCTAAGACGTTATGACCAGTGTTGGTGTCACATTGAGTGCCTGGGTCATATTGTTAACTTTGCCACTAGAAGGTACTATAAAATGCAGTTACCCATTTTCTCCCTAGGTTTGTTTAGTATGTGCTGCACTATGTCTGCAATCTCAGATGAAGGGGAAACTTGCTGTTCAGTGAGTATGTTGATATTAGTATTACACTCAGCTTCAAGAAATTCCAGGGTACATAATCTGTAGGCTCTGAGGAAGAAATTTATGAGAACACCACATTCATGGCACCACAGATTTTTTCTTTAAGACCTACAGAATATATTTCCCAGAGTTTCTTGAAGGAAAGTGTAATACCTATACCAGCAAATTCTGTCTTCACCTTTGCAGTGTAAAGCATAGCAGATACTTAACTTAGGGAGAATACAGACAACCAAGGCATTTTTACCTACTTGTACCATAGCTGACAACCTTACCTGGGCCCTCAAGTACAGCAATTTAAAGCCTTACGTGAATCAACCAGACCAAACACCATCCACCACATCAAAGCAGGCCTGTAAAAAGATTCCTTCCAGAGAGTATGCCAGAATTTAGTGGTGAAATAGAGCAGTCTACACACACCAGTTACCTAAAATATCATGTGTGTAAAATTCACAATTTAGAATGCGTTTTATATGTACACCCCACACACCAGCTGGTTATATGCAAAGCTCATCATGAATATAAGCCTAAAAGGTGTTTGGAAGCTGCAGTCCTATAGTCCTCTAATAGTATAAAGCATAATCAAGAGGCATTTAATATTGCTGCTCATCTTACACACACACCCAATATACAGGTGGCACCAAAAATGAGGTACTGTACATTACTGCCACAGATGATGGTTCACTCTGACCTACTGCTAGCATCTGTATTTATTGCAGACCCTTATGGGTGTAGTGCTTAGTTATGATTACAATATATTTGAGGGTTGAAGAGGGGTTGTTGATGTAGTTTGGTCATTCAGAGAGGATGGAACAAAATAGGATGACTCGGAGGGTATATAAATCTGTAGTGGAAGGGAGGAGGGGTAGGGGTCCTAGGAAAGGATGGGGGTAAAAGAGGTTGTGTGAATGCGTTAGGAGTGAAGACGAATGGTTTTCGGGACCTGACGAGCTATTGGAGTGTGAGCAGGGTAACGTTTTGTGAAGGGATTCAGGGAAACCGATTAGCCAGACTCGAGTCCTGGAGGTGAGAAGTACAATGCCTGCACTTTAAAGGAGGGGTTTGTGATATTGGTTGTTTGGAGTGACATCTAAACTGTCATATTTGGGTGCCTCTGCAAAAACTGATTATGTTGAGGGTGGGGTGGAATGAGAGGTATGCAAGTTATAATTATTATAATCATAACCAAGTGTTTATACTAGGGTCTACAGATGTGAATGTAATTTGGTCATGTAGTAACTGCTACCTATTCTACAAGGATAAATAAAGAAAACAATTTACTGGTATTTAAAATAAATTTATTTCTTCTAGAAGTGTATTTATAGGGCTACTTGTAATTGCTATACTATGCCAACAGTATTCTCCCCACCCCCCATATACACACAAAAAAGTAATCGTCTATGTATGAGAGTTTTACCTTTGACTTTGTAGTAAACATTTTTTTAGCTAAAAATTTTGACTTAGCTTGACAAGTCTTGAATAAGACACTTGCAACATCTGGATATCTATACATGTATTGCTGAAACATTTCACTTGTGTAGACTTCAGTCCAAAAAGCAACTTTTAAACTAGACAATGGTGGAAAGGTAATTTTGAGGTGTTCATGCCCTCAAAGCTGAACACCTTAACATCACCTCCACTTTTTTTTTTTTTTTTGTCACTTCTGTAATGGACTGAAGCCTCACATTTAAGTGTGTGTGTGTGTGTGTGTGTTGTACATGGCATTAATTTATTGGTATTGTATACCACTATTATGAAGATAGTTATCTACAAAGACTTGCTAACAGTTTTACTAGTTGGCAACATGCTATCAGATGCAGTGCTGCATCAGTTTCTTGTATATAAATACATTTATTTAATCTCGTGAACAATTTAATGCTATACACTTTACATTCAGCATTTACTGCTGTTGTCAATATTTACACAAAAAAAAAAATTATAAAGTAGATATAATTACCTAATTACAATTCAATCTGGAATGATGAATTTATAATGGAATGTAACTAAATATTGTGACTAAAATAAATAATGCTCAAACTCTTGGAGGTACTAATAATTCTTATTTTGCACTAATATCCCCATTTTAAAATGCACATTCTTGCCTAATTAAAAACCAAAATAATGGTTGCATCCTTTAGAAAGCTAGCATGATATAAGACAAGATAGCCCTGGAGTTCTGATCTTAATAACTGTTAGGTCCTGTTGAAGCAATCATTGAGGAAATCTTCCATGGAGTGATAGTGATGCCTCTTTACACCTGCCAAGCCATGATTCTCATCTGGATAACTCTGTCGGGAAAAAAATATTTCTATAAGAATTTCAGTTATGTATTTTAAAAGTAGTCATAACTAATAAATAAACGGCTTTCTGGTACATTTCATCATTCTGTTCAAAACCAAGGCCTCAAACCTGCATGGATCATGCAGTGTAGTAATGTTATCATCCTATCACTTTTTTTTTTTTTTTTTAATTTGTTGGGATGCTTGGCACTATGTGCAAACTTGTAAGTTTAAATGGATCACACTTCATTACTAATGTAAACTGGGCATTATATTATTTAAGGATTCACAATTTAAGGACAGTTTTCCAGCAGCAGCAGCCAAGGCAACTTTAACTGCTAGATTGTCTTAGTCAAGAATCACAGGGTAAAATAATAATAATAAAAAAAAAAAGACTTAATTGAAAGCCAGAGGCTTGTACAAGTCTTGCACAGAGCCAACTACTTATCCTAGGTCATTACTTTTAGCAAACAGGAAGACATCTGCTGTCCAGTTTTGCTATTCAGGATGCAATAGATGACCAGTAGATTCTTTAATTAGACAAACCCATTCAGTTAATTTTGGCTAGACACGAGAGAGAGTATAATTCAGCGTTCCCTGTCTGTCCGTTCTTAAGTATAGGGACCACATTCATTGTCTTTCAGATATCTGGCAACTGTCCCATATTCACCGACTTCTTGTAGAAGTCGGTGAATCCAGAATCAACTAGCTAACTAGTGGATTCTGCTAACTCTCGCAGAATTCATGGTCTGTGGCGTCAGGTCTATCAAAAGTTTGCTTACTTCTCCCACTGTTAAAGTGAATGCATCAAGACACTGAATTTGTCAAAACTGAATTTTGGGCAGTCTGAAAGATAGGGCACTTAAAACATGGTGAATTGATAGCTCAACCCGGCAGTCCTTACAAACACACTGGGCTTTTTTCCACGTGATATCCAAGTCGTGTGTGTTTGATTCAAAATCAGGTGGGCATAGTTTCCCTACACTCAACAGTGATAAAAAGACAGCCTGGAAACAACTATTGTTTGTTCAGTTTCTTCTAATATTCCAGTGTAATATTGATATTACAACATACCAATGATACACTGGTATAAAGTGGTTGGCTATGGATTAGGGTAGTTGGTAAAGTTGATACAAGGTGGCAGAGAGAATATTCCAAGTCAGACCAAAATGTTGTCATAAGTTTGTCTAATATGTGCAGGTTATTTGTGTAGTGTCCCAGTCAGTGTTGTGCCTTTTTTCTTTATGGAATTGTGTACAGAAAATTGACTAATAGTGCTAGAAATAAGGTGTATAGGAGTTGTGTGTAGGGGGACATGAAGCAAGGAGGTGAAAGTCCAAAGTATACAATTTGTATGATGAGGTAATCAACATTAATGGTAACTGCCTTACCAACGTTGAATTTAAACAAACCTGCGATCTGAAGAGAATATCTTCAACCTCCAAAGCTCGGGACAGCATCATAGACTGCTGGTAGTGTACATTGTCATCAGCTGTTCCATGTATCAGGAAGAATTCTTTGTTTCTGAAGTTGGACACATTCCTAGTCACATCAGAATATTCATAAGCAGCATAATTGTCACTTGGTGTTGGTAGGCCCATATATCGCTCAGTATAAACTGTATCTGTAGATGAGAGAATATGTAATGAGGGTCATAAAATACATGATAACTACTCTTAACAGTTGGACCAATTCATTTAGGGCATTTAAAGTATATATATGGGAGATTCTAGAGAGAAATTGCAAAGGTTGGTTGACGAATTTGGGAGACAGTGTAAAAATAGAAAAGTTGAGTGAACATAGAAAAGAGTAATGTGATAAGGGTATCAAATGATTTAGATAAAGAAAAATTGGATATCAAATTGGAGAGGGGGAGTATGGAAGAAGTGAACGTTTCAGATATTTGGGAATCGACGTGTCAGCGGATGGATGTATAAATTATAAGGTTAACCATAGAACTGATGAAGGAAAAAAAGGCGAGTGGTGCATTGAGGTATACGTGGAGACAAAAAAACTATCTATGGAGGTAAAGAAGGGAATGTATGAAAGTATAGTGGTACCAACACTCTTATATGGGTGTGAAGCTTGAGTTGTAAATGCTGCAGCAAGGAGTAATATTATGCAGAGAATTCGGAGTGTGGATATTAGAAGGTGTGGAGTTAATAAAAGTATTAGTCAGAGGGCTGAAGAGGGGTTGTTGAGGTGGTTTGGTCATTTAGAGAGAATGGATCAACGTAGAATGACATGGAGAGCGTATAAATCTGTAGGGGAGGAAGGCGGGGTAGGGGTCGTCCTCGAAAAGGTCGGAAGGAAGGGGTGAGGGAGGTTTTGTGGGCGAGGGGCTTGGACTTCCAGAAGGCGTGCGTGAGCGTGTTCGATAGGAGTGAATGGAGACAAATGGTATTTGGGACCTAACGATCTGTTGGAGTGTGAGCAGGGTAATATTTAGTGAAGGGATTCAGGGAAACCAGTTATTTTTATATAGCTGGACTTGAGTCCTGGAAATGGGAAGTACAATGCCTGCACTCTAAAGGAGGGGTTCGGGATACTGGCAGTTTGGAGGGATATGTTGTGTATCTTTATACGTATATGCTTCTAAACTGTTGTGTTCTGAGCACCTCTGCAAAAACAGTGATTATGTGTGAGTGAGGTGAAAGTGTTGAATGATGATGAAAGTATTTTCTTTTTTGGGATTTTCTTTCTTTTTGGGTCACCCTGCCTCGGTGGGAGATGGCCGACTTGTTAAAAAAAGAAGAATATATTAAAAAACATATTGTATATGATGAGGGAGGGGATAAAAGAGATTTTGTATACAAGGGGTCTGGACATGTTATATAGGAGCGAATAGAGATGAATAGTTTTTGGGTCCTGATGAGCTGTTGGAGTGTGAGCAGGGTAATATTTTCTTAAGGGATTCAGGGAAACTGGTTAGCCGGACTCGAGTCCTGGAGGTGGGAAGTACAATGTTTTCACTTTATAGGAGGGGCTTGGGATATTGACTGTTTGGAGTGACATCTAAACTGTCATATCTGGACATCTCTGCAATGACTGATTATGTGTGAATGATGGTGAAAGTGTTTCTTTCTTTTTTGGATCACCCTACCTCAGTGGGAGACAGCCAAAATGTTGAAAAAAAAAATGAATTTATATTCTAAATCATCATGAGTGATTCCTTACCATAATAAATCCAGGATGTAACAGGTGCCACTGAAATACCACACTTGAAAATATTACTAAAGTCTTTTGACAGAACTGAGGCAGTCACATAGCCACCGTACGACCATCCCCAAATAGCAGTTCTTGAAGAATCAATGTATGGGAAGGACTTCTGAAGAGCACTGAAAAATTAACTTTAACTTTAGAACATACACATTTATACATAAATAAATTATTTCTCTTGAATACAACACATAAACAATTACTGTAAATATATAAAAATGCAATACTGTACTGCAAATGTGTTCTACAAAGATATTTCACACTGAAGCAGCATGACCCGAGTTCAAGTTTATAAAACGTTTGTTCCCCTCTAACTACACAAAATATGCTGTATTACAGTACAGTATTGAAGTTACAAAACCATGATTTGGACAGGTGACAAGCAGTATATAAAATGGAAAGCAAAAGTTAATAGGTTATGAAGGACAGAAACATTGGTGAGTTTTCTTTTTCAATTTGTAAAATTTGCTTCAGTACTCAACCTCTAGCAACTTAAAAGAAAAAGTAATTTTGTACAGTATACTGTGTATCAATCCTCAAAAATAACAGACTCCTTATGACTAAATAAAGAATATATATTTTTTAATATTATCATCATTATTATGCCACTTCAAAATAATGAGAAAGGTTAAAATAAAAAATAAAAAAATTAATTTTAACTTACGCAGTAACAGCAATCTGGTCATCAACTTCACCTGTTCCTAAACCATAATAAAGTGTATGGAGAAGTTTATCTCCAGCATATCCAGATCCACGGCCATCAATTGATGTATATATAATTCCTTGCTCAGATGCCAAATAATCACCCCAATCAATTTTAAATCTATCACTAACCAATTGGGAACCTGGACCACCATACCTAGAAAAGAAGCAGAGTTACAAAAAAGTTTTCATAATTATTAGTTCAGTGAATTTTATTACAATAGGGTAATATGAGCAGGGTAATATTTAGTGAAGGGATTCAGGTAAACGGCTATTTTTATATAGCTGGACTTGAGTCCTGGAAATGGGAAGTACAATGCCTGCACTCTAAAGGAGGAGTTCGGGATATTGGCAGTTTGGAGGGGCATATTGTGTATCTTTATACGTATATACGCCTACCATAGTAAGCGTGTATGCACCTGGAGAAGAGAGAAGTGTAGAGGAGAGAGAGAGATTTTGGGAAATGTTGAGTGAATGTGTGGGGAGTTTTGAATCAAGTGTGAGAGTAATGGTGGTTGGGGATTTCAATGCTAAAGTGGGTAAAAATGTTATAGAGGGAGTAGTAGGTAAATTTGGGGTGCCAGGGGTAAATGTAAATGGGGAGCCTTTAATTGAGCTGTGCGTAGAAAGATTTGGTAATAAGTAATACATATTTTATGAAAGAGGATAAATAAATATACAAGGTATGATGTAGCACGTAATGAAAGTAGTTTGTTAGATTATGTATTGGTGGATAAAAGGTTGATGGGTAGCCTCCAGGATGTACATGTTTATAGAGGGGCAACTGATATATCAGATCATTATTTAGTTGTAGCTACAGTTAGAGTAAGAGGTAGATGGGAAAAGAGGAAGGTGGCAACAACAAGTAAGAGGGAGGTGAAAGTGTATAAACTAAGGGAGGAGGAAGTTCGGGTGAGATATAAGCGACTATTGGCAGAAAGGTGGGCTAGTGCAAAGATGAGTAGTGGGGGGGGTTGAAGAGGGTTGGAATAGTTTTAAAAATGCAGTATTAGAATGTGGGGCAGAAGTTTGTGGTTATAGGAGGGTGGGGGCAGGAGGAAAGAGGAGTGATTGGTGGAATGATGAAGTAAAGGGTATGATAAAAGAGTAAAAGGTAGCTTATGAGAGGTTTTTACAAAGCACAAGTGTTATAAGAAGAGCAGAGTATATGGAGAGTAAAAGAAAGGTGGAGTGGTGAGAGAGTGCAAAAGAAGAGCAGTTGATAAGAGTGGGAGAGGCACTGTCAAAAAATTTTAATGAAAATAACAAAAAATTTTGGAGTTAAGTAAGTTAAGAAAGCCTAGGGAAAGTATGGATTTGTCAGTTAAAAACAGAGTAGGGGAGTTAGTAGATGGGGAGATGGAGGTATTAGGTAGATGGCGAGAATATATTGAGGAACTTTTAAATGTTAAGGAAGAAAGGGAGGCAGTAATTTCATGCACTGGTCAGGGAGGTATACCATCTTTTAGGAGTGAAGAAGAGCAGAATGTAAGTGTGGGGGAGGTAAGTGAGGCATTACATAGAATGAAAGGGGGTAAAGCAGCTGGAACGGATGGGATCATGACAGAAATGTTAAAAGCAGGGGGGGATATAGTGTTGGAGTGGCTGGTACTTTTGTTTAATAAATGTATGAAAGAGGGGAAGGTACCTAGGGATTGGCAGAGAGCATGTATAGTCCCCTTATATAAAGGGAAAGGGGACAAGAGAGATTGTAAAAATTATAGAGGAATAAGTTTACCGAGTATACCAGGAAAAGTGTACGGTAGGGTTATAATTGAAAGAATTAGAGGTAAGACAGAATGTAGGATTGCGGATGAGCAAGGAGGTTTCAGAGTGGGTAGGGGATGTGTAGATCAAGTGTTTACATTGAAGCATATATGTGAACAGTATTTAGATAAAGGTAGGGAAGTTTTTATTGCATTTATGGATTTAGTAAAGGCATATGATAGAGTGGATAGAGGAGCAATGTGGCAGATGTTGCAAGTATATGGAATAGGTGGTAAGTTACTAAATGCTGTAAAGAGTTTTTATGAGGATAGTGAGGCTCAGGTTAGGGTGTGTAGAAGAGAGGGAGACTACTTCCCGGTAAAAGTAGGTCTTAGACAGGGATGTGTAATGTCTCCATGGTTGTTTAATATATTTAGATGGGGTTGTAAAAGAAGTAAATGCTAGGGTGTTCGGGAGAGGGGTGGGATTAAATTATGGGGAATCAAATTCAAAATGGGAATTGACACTGTTACTTTTTGCTGATGATACTGTGCTTATGGGAGATTCTAAAGAAAAATTGCAAAGGTTAGTGGATGAGTTTGGGAATGTGTGTAAAGGTAGAAAGTTGAAAGTGAACATAGAAAAGAGTAAGGTGATGAGGGTAGCAAATGATTTAGATAAAGAAAAATTGGATATCAAATTGGGGAGAAGGAGTATGGAAGAAGTGAATGTTTTCAGATACTTGGGAGTTGACGTGTCGGCGGATGGATTTATGAAGGATGAGGTTAATCATAGAATTGATGAAGGAAAAAAGGCGAGTGGTGCATTGAGGTATATGTGGAGTCAAAAAACGTTATCTATGGAGGCAAAGAAGGGAATGTATTAAAGTATAGTAGTACCAACACTCTTATATGGATGTGAAGCTTGGGTGGTAAATGCAGCAGCGAGGAGACGGTTGGAGGCAGTGGAGATGTCCTGTCTAAGGGCAATGTGTGGTGTAAATATTATGCAGAAAATTCGGAGTGTGGAAATTAGGAAAAGGTGTGGAGTTAATAAAAGTATTAGTCAGAGGGCAGAAGACGGGTTGTTGAGGTGGTTTGGTCATTTAGAGAGAATGGATCAAAGTAGAATGACATGGAAAGCATATAAATCTATAGGGGAAGGAAGGCGGGGTAGGGGTTGTCCTCGAAAGAGTTGGAGAGAGGGGTAAAGGAGGTTTTGTGGGTGAGGGGCTTGGACTTCCAGCAAGTGTGCGTAAGCGTGTTAGATAGGAGTGAATGGAGACGAATGGTACTTGGGACCTGACGATCTGTTGGAGTGTGAGCAGGGTAATACATATTTAGTGAAGGGATTCATGGAAACCGGTTATTTTCATATTGTCGGACTTGCGTCCTGGAAATGGGAAGTACAATGCCTGCACTTTAAAGGAGGGGTTTGGGATATTGGCAGTTTGGAGGGATATGTTGTGTATCTTTATACGTATATGCTTCTAAACTGTTGTATTCTGAGCACCTCTGCAAAAACAGTGATAATGTGAGAGTGTGGTGAAAGTTTTGAATGATGATGAAAGTATTTTCTTTTGGGGGATTTTCTTTCTTTTTTGGGTCACCCTGCCTCGGTGGGAGACGGCCGACTTGTTGAAAAAAAAAAAAAAAAAAAGCCTACCATCCGACTTACGACCTGCTCGACTTACGACCGTGTTTTTTATGTCAAATTTCTGGGAAATAAACAACTATTTGTGTTGTACACAGTGTTTATCCTAAACCTTACAGTATAAAATACAGTACTAACAACATAAAAAAAAAAGTAAAACATGAAATACCAAAATAAAACAATAAAATAAAGTCATTACAAAAATGTTTTATTCATATTCAGTAGTAAAGTTCGACTTACGACCATTTCGACTTACGACCGGTTTCTCGGAACCGAACTCGGTCGTAAGTCGGATGGTAGGTGTACTTCTCAACTGTTGTATTCTGGGCACCTCTGCAAAAACAGTGATTATGTGTGAGTGAGGTGAAAGAGTTGAATGATGATGAAAGTATTTTCTTTTTGGGGATTTTCTTTCTTTTTTGGGAGACGGCCAACTTGTTAAAAAAAAAAAAAAAAAAAAAAAAAAAAAATTTACCTATAAATTTCAGTTTTGCTTTCACTTACACATAAACCAACATGGGGTACGACTGGGAACGAGCTGGATTATAATCTGGTGGCAGCTTCATGGAAACTTGGGCCTTGAATCCACCCTCTACATCAATTTCTAGACGTTTCTCCAAAGGTAAAGATCGATCTAGAAGTTTAATCCGAATCTGCAAGAAAGAAGTCTATTTTTGACAAGTGCTCCCTTTTTGCACAATCTAAATACAGTGGACCCTCGACCAGCGATGGCATCGATTAACGATAAATCTGACTAGCGATACATTTTATCACAAAAATTTTGCCTCGATTAGCACTAAAAAACTCGACCAACACTATTCGTTCCGTCTGAGACGCGTCCACTTCTGGCCAGTGTTTACAAGCCAGCCAGCCACCGTGGTCGCTTCCAAGCATACAATTGGAACATTTCATATTATCACAGCCTTTTTAGTGATTGCACCTGCAAAATAAGTCACCATGGGCCCCAAGAAAGCTTCTAGTGCCAACCCTACAGCAGGGTGAGAATTACTATGGATATGAAGAAAGAGATCATTGCTAAGTATGAAAGTGGAGTGCGTGTCTCTGAGCTGGCCAGGCTGTACACAAAACCCCAATCAACCATCGCTACTATTGTGGCCAAGAAAACGGCAATCAAGGAAGCTGTTCTTGCCAAAGGTGCAACTATATTTTCGAAACTGAGATCACAAGTGATAGAAGATGTTGAGAGACTGTTATTGGTGTGGATAAACGAGAAACAGATAAGTCACTCTGTCTGACTTTTTTGGGTTATCCTAGGTTTTCTGCACATATGCTGCTATGTATGATAATTCTATGTAACTGTATTTGTGTATACCTGAATAAACTTACTTACTTAGAAGGAGACAGCATCTCTTAAGCGATCATTTGTGAAAAGGCTAGAAAGTTGCATGACGATTTAATTAAAAAAATGCCAGCAACTAGTGATGTGAGTTAATTTAAGGCCAGCAAAGGTTGGTTTGAGAGATTTAAAAAGCGTAGTGGCATTCATAGTGTGATAAGGCATGGTGAGGCTGCCAGTTCGGACCACAAAGCGGCTGAAAAATATGTGCAGGACTTCAAGGAGTACATAGACAGTGAAGGACTGAAACCTGAACAAGTGTTTAATTGTGACGAAACAGGCCTGTTTTGGAAGAAAATGCCAAGCAGGATGTACATTACTCAGGAGGAAAAGGCACTCCCAGGACATAAGCCTATGAAAGACAGGCTTACTCTGTTGATGTGTGCCAATGCTAGTGGTGATTGCAAAGTGAAGCCTTTATTGGTGTATCACTCTGAAACTCCCAGTGTGTTCAGGAAAAACAATGTCGTCAAGGCTAATTTGTGTGTGCTGTGGAGGGCAAACAGTAAGGCATGGGTCACTGGGGACTTTTTCTATGACTGGTTACACCATGCATTTGCCCCCAATGTGAAAAATTACCTATTTGAAAAGAAATTAGACCTTAAGTGCCTCCTGGTATTAGACAATGCTCCTGGTCATCCTTCAGACTTGGCAGAGTGACTTTCTAGGGACATGAGCTTCATTAAGGTGAAGTTTTTGCCTCCTAATACCACTCCTCTTCTAAACACTAAGAAGATCAATGCTCTCCCCTCCTCCCATCCCATCAATCATCACCAGATCTTCAATAAAGGTAAGTGTCATGTAACTGTGCATGTAATCTTCAGTTTGTGTATATTAAAATTAATATTTCATGTGGTAAAATTTTTTTTTTCAATACTTTTGGGTGTCTTGCACGGATTAATTTGATTTCCATTATTTCTTATGGGGAAAATTAACTTGACTAACGATAATTTTGACTAACGATGAGCTCTCAGGAATGGATTAATATCGTTGGTTGAGGGTCCACTGTATAGTTCACATGCCTAGAAATACTGAGGCTATTAAGTCATCTTAAATATAAAATTTTATTCTGATCTGAGCACTATTTTAAAAAATCCAAATATCCTAATTGCATTACCTCTTGATTATCCTCCAGCAGCAGGAGTCGTGAGTGGTCAGAAGAACGATGCAGAGTTACTTGTGGTATTCCCGGCCCATTACATGTCAGTGCATAATAGGTACTTTCTTCACTCATATCAGCACTGTTGTAATTGCAATCTTCCTGGAAAATAAAGAATAACAATAGCAATAAGTTTAATGAAAGATGCACTCAGGAGAGAGGACAGAAACAAGCAAAATATGCAAAGTTCTTTAATGTAAACCGTATTACAATACAAATAATATTCCCAAACAATTAAAAGGTGTATGAGGAAACTGGTTTAGGTGTCAATTTCTCAAAAATTATCCTGTCTAGACCTTAGTCCTAGTATATATCCTTTATAGTATAATAAGATAGTATATCCTTTGTAGTATAATAATAAGGCATTATAAGGGACTCCAATGGAAATAAATCACTGACTTTTTTTGGGTTATCCCAGGTTCTCTATACATATGCTACTATGTCTGATACTCTATGTAACTGTATTTGTGTATACCTGAATAAACTTACTTAATGTTTTGAAGTGCCAGCCTTGGCTCCCAAACTTTACAAAGTCTGCTATAATATTTTATTATTGTGCTATATCAAATAAAAAAAATGTAGATAAAAAAACTTACATTAAAGTCATTTTTGAAGCCACAAGTAATGCAATATGCTTGTTTGGGTTGAGTTGAATTTAGATCCCCTACATAATACATATGTCGTTGACCAGGTTTTCCAGCAGGAGCAGCTGAGAAATATCTGAAAATGGGATAATAATCATGTCAATAATAATCAGACATTCCAGAGAAGCTACAAACGTTAGCAGACATTCCTAAAGGTGTTTAAAATAAGTATGCTAAAAGTGAATACTGAATATGGCGATAATAAAAATATGGGGGAAACGAGAGATCAGAAAAGAAGGAGAGATTAGAGGAAGTTAGTATATTTAGATATTTGGAAGGTGCATCAGGATAATGTTAATCAATATGGAAAAGGAAACAGAGATGAGGGGTGAAGTTTGTTGTCAAGTTTATGTATGGAAAGTAAAGTTTGTCAATAGATAACAGCATAGATATTTTACAGCACTTTGCTTTACAGTGTTTTGCTAATACAGTGGTTTTTCAATTATACCCATTCTTCATTTATTCAAACTTCCTACAATAAATATATTCACCATTCACTACAAGCTATGGACGAAAATATCTTAAGGCAAGTAATGCGTGAACTGTATATGCATTTTTTAGGCCTAGCTATATTGTTCACTTAATATATGATAGAATAAACATGTTATCAGGCTTTTATATGCATTTGGAAGTGAAAAAAAAAAAAGGCTACGATTTGTTTTACAGCGGTAGTTCAGAACCTAACCTGCTGTATAAGCAAGGTCTGCCTGTACCAGTACATGGTTTCAAAGATTTAAGACCCATCAACTGCACACAGGTTTTGAACTCTTTCAAGGTCATTTCCCAACAGTTATAACTTTACCATAAATTTTTGGGGTTAACCAAAGGCAGAATGACAAAAAAATAAAAAACACACATCCATGATTATACATTCAAGTGCCATTTTGTCATAAGTGGGCAGATAATGCAATTCAAATGACCCTTCAAACTACATCTCCAACCCTCCTTCAGAGTGCAGACACTATTTCAAACCTCCTGCACTCATGTCTAACTAACCAGTTTCCCCTAATCCCTTCATAAATGTTACCTTGCTTATACTCCAACATCAAGCATTCAACATGCCTGTTGAATGCTCAAGCCCCTAGCACTCAAAACCTCCACTAATTCCCTCCCAACTCTTCCCAGGGCAATCCTTATCGCTCCTTCCTTCCACCCCCGATTAATACAGCCTAATGGTCATCCCCATTTTGCCCCTTCTCTAAATGTCCAAACCACCTCAACAACCATTCCTTAGCCCTCTTAATTATATTTTTGGTACAACTCTTGAATGGCTCGTAGCAAACAAAGACTGAGGTTCCCATACTACCTAAAATGGAATTTCTGAGAAACAGTATTAGAAGGTGAAAAACTTACATACGAAAATTTAATATTTTATAACTGTGCTTAAAAGTATTGTGACTGAAATAACTTGGTGCCAAAAGTATTGCAAAAAAATTCTTGCATGTATAATACATGTATAACAGTTACGTGTATATTTTGTACTGTAATCCATATTACAGTATATATTAAGTACAACTTATGAGTTTGGTAAAAATTTAATTAGAACCTTGTTAAATACATATATCAATTTCAGGAAAGCAAAAAACAGTACAGAATAGTTACAAAAACAAAAACAAATTTTTTTCACATAGAATATTCCCATGGCTCAGTTTGGTATTTTTTCCCATTACCAAAATTCTATGGTAAAAAGCCTGTCTTTGTACATTCTGTCTATGGCCCCTTTCAAATACTGTAAACCTTTTCCTGTTGTAGCAGATGAACTAATGTCTAGACAAGCACCCACAAAAAATATCTAAAAAGCAGGGAAAACTTAATTGCACTTACATGATGTGATTATTTTGGTCCCAGGAGAGAATTTCCACAACTTCATAAGTTCCAGTTGTCAAAGGAATCAAGGTTTTGTCCGATGATCTCCGAAGATTGATATGCTGGATAAATTATTACGGTTTTAGTTACAATCATTAAAATTATTCATTAATTTGGGAGGCTGTGAAATATTGAACAGCAGACTAGACAAAGGGAGTACTGAGAAAGTGGATATATTTAGGTGACTGGGAGCTTACACATCAGGAAATGGATTATGAAAGATTAGGTGCACCACAGAACAGATTCAGGAAAAAAAGGTAGAGGTGTATTGAAGCATTTGTGAAAATTAGGCTTATCTACGGAGACAAAAAAGGGGAATGTACCAGAGTATACAATAGTGGTACCAACACACATGGATGAAGAATGGGTTTTGACATTGCAGCAAGGTGGCTGCTTGTGGTAACGATATCATATTTGATAGCAATGTGTGGTGTGACTTATGTAGAGAATTTAGAGCACAGAAATGAAAAAAAAAAAAACAGTGTGGGGAGAAGATGACAAGAGTGTGTATAAATCTGGGGTGGCAGAAAGGAGCAGTTGTGGTAGTCCCAAGAACAGTTGGAAGAACAGGGCGAAGGTTTTGAGTGTTAAGGGCTTGAGCCAGTTAGACAGGAGTGGAGACAGGTAGATTTTAATGTATGTACTGTTGGACTGTGAGCAAGGCAGCATTTATGAAGGGATTCTGGGAAGCTGGTTAACTGGTCCTGGATATGGAAATAGCAGTGCATACACTGAAGGAGGGAACGAATGTTGAAGTCTGAGGGCCATTTAAATTGTGATGTCAGAATACTAATGGCAAGGCAGTGACTGAGTGAATGATGGTGAATATGCTTCCTTTTTAAGTATGGAAACAGAATAACATTGCTGTATATAGGTTTCTTCACAATTATGGGAACTGAGTAACAAAGCTATATATATATAGGTTTCTTAATAAGTGTGGGAAAAGAGTAACAAGTTATACCTGTTCTATGTCATAAGACACTATTTGTCTTATGTTATAAAACAATGCCATTATTTTACTATTGAGAATGCCTACTACCGTAATATTAAAAATTAGCAATTATACAGACATTATTAATACAGTAATAAACTTACTTTGAAATTTCCTTTTGCTCCCTGATCTGTGGGCATGATTATGAGGTATGTGTCACCATTAATATCATCAAATGTAGGTGGAGTATAGAAATCATTCCAGGCATGGTCTGGCGACTCATGAACCAAATCATCACTACACACACCAGTGTCTGCCAAGCATATGCTAAGGGTATTCACATTCTGAAATGTAATTAATCCTCTACTTAGCAATCATTCTGTATAGTTAATAACTAAATTATTTTCTTATTTATGGAGATGTGCTAAACCTGTAAGGTTCATACAACACCTGGAAAATGCAAGGTAATCAGGTTTGATATGAGGAGAGGGCAGCTCCAATAACCTGATTCACAAGTCCTTCAACATCAAAGCACTCCCTTTTAATTGTGATTGCTAACTATAAACACAACCTATATCAAGCTATAGCATATCTACATTCTGTATTTTTTTACTAATACAGCAATGTTTCTTTTTTAGACATAAGTTCAACAACAAAAGCACAACATATTTAGTAAATACTTTTATACAAACATTAATGTTGGGTCTCAATTAGGTTCATTAAACCATGTTTCAAAAAACAATAAAAATGAATTTAATGATATTTATTAATTTGTTTGACTGTAGTTGCAGTTAGTAGTTACCTCTACATTATTCAGGGAAACAATTTAAAATTACACTCTATTTGAGATAAATACTTAATATTTTTTCATATACAGGTGTGTACTGTGCTGCAATCTAAATACGTATAAAACACTGCATCCTATGTAGTGTTTCAAAAAAGCTTAAAACATTAAATATACCAAACACTGATACTGTATATGAATCAGTGAGAATAATAGAAGTGTTTCTAAATCTTCAAAGAGAGGGGTGCCTTGAAGGTGAAGGTATCTTGATCTGAGTAATTAGTGCTACTTTCTTCTTCCAGGGATCATACCCAATTGTTCCCCACCCCTCACATTTTTCTGGTGCACTAAAACCTTTACGGGTTTAGCAGCAACTACATCAATAACTTCACTTTCATTTGTCTTTAGTGCACAAATATTTCTAAAATATATTAAAAAATATTGTGATTATGTATCAGCTTTATTTTCACTGAATTTATTTAAGATTTAAATGTATTCTTCATGTATACTACAGTAGTACCAACCACAATTTGATTTTAAATATATGGTAATAATACAGACCAACAGTGATTTTATTTTTTTAGTTGTCAAGAAATTAACTTGACAACTTTATAAATTTCCTTAGGAATTTCTTGTTAAAAGGCAAATGAGGGTGCAATTAACTGAAAAAGTTATATACCTGTACTAATTTCATTGTTTACAGATACTATTAACATACTGATGCATCTACAAGGACATAATAAGTGCTGACAATTTTTTATTTTATCAACACAAAAACAGCACTAACCTGATGTCTGTTCATCCACATAATAGAAACTTTATCAGGAGTAGCCCAGCCAACAGCAGTGAAGTAATGGTCAGCAGAGGATAAAGAGTCAGGAGGAGGCAGGCGAGTCACAGTTTCTGCACTACCACTGACCAATTTAGCAAGGTCTACCACCCATAGATCCACCACAGGATTGGAGCGGCCAGGCTGAAATTACATTTTACTTAATACTGTCGTGGCCTAGAGTATGAAAATTCAGAAGGGAACCTTGCTGGAATTCACAAACATAAAATATAAAAAAAAAAAATAATACATTAACTAATGTTGCTGTTTTTTAACAGTGGCCATCTCCCACCGAGGCAGGGCGACCCAAAAAAAAAAACACACTTTCACCATCATTCACACTATCACTGTCTTGCCAGAGATGTGCAGATACAACAATTCAGATGTCCCTCCAAACAACAAATATCCCCACCCCTCCCTCTTCCAGGGTGCAGGCATTGTACTTCCCACTTCTAGGACTCAAGTCTGGTTAACCAGTTTCCCCTGAATCCCTTCACAAAATGTTCCTTTGCTCACACTCAAACAGCTCTTCAGGTCCCAAAAACCATTTGCCACCACTTGCTATCTAACATGTTCACACATGCCTGCTGGTTGTCCAAGCCCCTCGCACACAAAACCTCTCATACCCCCCTCCCTCCATTGCTTCCTAGAATGGCCCTTACCCAGTCTTCCCTCCACTACAGATTTATACACCCTCTAAGTCATCCTATGTTGCTCCATCCTCTTTGAAAGAAAAATTAACTGAAACTAAAAAATAAATAATTTGGTGTAATATAAGTTTTATTATTATATTAGTCACTATGTTAATCATATTAATATTCATTATATCGAAGAAGTATTGTAATGTGCAGCAAATTGTTTTGAACGGTGGCTAATTTATTAAATCAGATTTCTTAGAGCACCTAAAATCTTTTTATCATATTTTGACAAGACCTAAAGTGCTTATAATGCCTACTACTAAAACATTAATCAACTTTGAGAAGACAAAGGAACAGTTTCTAATTTTCCTTCATAGTTAGTTATCGTATTAATATGCATACACTTAAAATCACTAGTGTACTGTAATCACAGACTGTATGGCATATATCGAGTTACTGTACTTTCCAGTTTCCTATACATTTATGCCATGTTGGTAAATTAATCACAACTTGGTTTACGAGCTATAATCATCTTTCATCTCTTAAATATACAGTTCAATAATGACAAAATCAAAATTAATGTAAATTCAATGTAGAACAATAAAATCTCAAGAATTATTTTTGCATATGTATTATTTTAGCTGCAATTTTTCAGGCAACTTTCTGAAATATATTGTCAAACAAATCAATTAAGGCAGTTACTGTACACATTTCTACTGTTATTAAAAAACCACTATGCACCTAAACCTCAAGGCATCAAAGCATCCAGTTCTACATCCTTTATTAATTCTCAACTATTGCAACTTATTGCTCACTACAACCAGCAACTTTCTATACCTTGGGGTATTTGATGGACTGCTGAATAGGGTACTGGAATGCCAAATCTCCAGGGCGACCGTAGAGAGGGAAGTTCATTGTGTCTACACGAGAATCATTAAAGGTAGCGAACGCCAGGCGTCGACCATTGGAGTTGAACCATAGAGCAGAATTTGAGCTTAGAATTTCCTCTGTAGTGGATATACAAAAAAGTATTTTAATTATTATAGTAATGTAGCTATTTTAAACCATTTTCAGACAATGCAATTTCAACAAACTTTTTGCATGGAAGCCTTTTAAGGAACTGTAAAAATAAATACTGTGTCTGTTGCCTTATTAGTAGCTTAATAATAGAAGAATTTCAACACGGTTCTTGAGGTCCTGAATATCATAAAACAGCATTTTAGTATAAATACGCAGTTAAATTTGTGCAGTACTTGCAAAATAAAGTACACTTTTCATTAACAAAGCTTTATAGACTGGTTATTTATATTTTAGTGGATGTACAAGAATTTTCATTAGCATATTTTACTGTAAATAGAAATAGTAGTTACAGTGCCATGATGTAGCAAATTAATGAATAACTCTTAAGAAATCATTTGAAAAATAATAATGGTACAGTCCTGTGAATAAATATTAACTTAACTGCACTCAACAAAAATTTACACTTTAAAATGGCAATGTACATTGTACCTTCATACACCCAATCAGGAATGCCATTGAAGATGCTGCCAATCTGTCCAGTGTCAGTCAGTCTATACATGGTGTCTAGATCAGGGCCAGTGGTGTAATACAAGTCGTTGTGAGAGACGAAAGCCAGAGCATCATCAGTGGGTGCCCATGTGGCAAACAGTAGAGGTGGCTGGTCGCTTCTTGATCTCACACGAGTTGGAGCAAGTGGGATTGTTTTCCTACAAAGAAAATGGAATCAAATATTAAGAGGTACATCCCATTTATCTCCAGATTTCACAGTACGAGAAGTACCCAAGTTACACACACCTGCACATACAGCAGGCCCCACTTATACGACAGGTTAAGTTCCAGGCTACTGCTGGAAAGTAGACATCGGTGGAAAGCAGAACGCCATTCTTTCCACTTATAAATGCATATAAATGCCAGATAAGTTTACAATAACATATATTAAGTTAAAGAATAACGAATAAAAAAGTATAAAGAATAAAAAGAATAAAGATTTTATTTCTTCATGAAGGTTACAATATGTAACTATAATTTTGGTTAGCTAAGTACGTACAAGGAAAGTCACTATCATGCCGGGGCATTTCGGGCAGATTAATCCTAGTACATAATTTTATTATTTTTTATTATTTTTTATTATCACACTGGCCGATTCCCACCAAGGCAGGGTGGCCCGAAAAAGAAAAACTTTCACCATCATTCACTCCATCACTGTCTTGCCAGAAGGGTGCTTTACACTACAGTTTTTAAACTGCAACATTAACACCCCTCCTTCAGAGTGCAGGCACTGTACTTCCCATCTCCAGGACTCAAGTCCGGCCTGCCGGTTTCCCTGAATCCCTTCATAAATGTTACTTTGCTCACACTCCAACAGCACGTCAAGTATTAAAAACCATTTGTCTCCATTCACTCCTATCAAACACGCTCACGCACGCCTGCTGGAAGTCCAAGCCCCTCGCACACAAAACCTCCTTTACCCCCTCCCTCCAACCCTTCCTAGGCCGACCCCTACCCCGCCTTCCTTCCACTACAGACTGATACACTCTTGAAGTCATTCTGTTTCGCTCCATTCTCTCTACATGTCCGAACCACCTCAACAACCCTTCCTCAGCCCTCTGGACAACAGTTTTGGTAATCCCGCACCTCCTCCTAACTTCCAAACTACGAATTCTCTGCATTATATTCACACCACACATTGCCCTCAGACATGACATCTCCACTGCCTCCAGCCTTCTCCTCGCTGCAACATTCATCACCCACGCTTCACACCCATATAAGAGCGTTGGTAAAACTATACTCTCATACATTCCCCTCTTTGCCTCCAAGGACAAAGTTCTTTGTCTCCACAGACTCCTAAGTGCACCACTCACTCTTTTTCCCTCATCAATTCTATGATTCACTCATCTTTCATAGACCCATCCGCTGACACGTCCACTCCCAAATATCTGAATACGTTCACCTCCTCCATACTCTCTCCCTCCAATCTGATATTCAATCTTTCATCACCTAATCTTTTTGTTATCCTCATAACCTTACTCTTTCCTGTATTCACCTTTAATTTTCTTCTTTTGCACACCCTACCAAATTCATCCACCAATCTCTGCAGCTTCTCTTCAGAATCTCCCAAGAGCACAGTGTCATCAGCAAAGAGCAGCTGTGACAACTCCCACTTTCTGTGTGATTCTTTATCTTTTAACTCCACGCCTCTTGCCAAGACCCTCGCATTTAATAGCTACTTAAATCTAGACAAGATAAAAGTGGTTAACTTTTATTAAAATCTTTAATTATTATATTACTAATGTGAGGTAGTCAAGGTGGAGGTTTATAAGAATAATAATCTTGAAGTTGGACATAATAAAAACAATATTACAATACGTATTACAAACAGTAATATTTCATGGATTGGCAAAAGTTTAATAGACTTGAGGTCATACAATATCATATAATAACTGATTTGAAGTTGTTTTGGTTAGTATTAAGAGATGAAATGATTTTTAAGCAAAGTCCTAAATTTATAAGTATTCATGGGATCCTTTACCAGTTCAGGTAGTGAATTCCAAATCTTCGAGCCCTTTATGTACAATGCATTTTTGCATAGTGAGAGACTGACACAAGGGATGATGTTGAAGAGTGTCTTATGCCTTGTATTGTGACTGCATTCTGTTGTAACTATCAAGAAGTTTAAGTGGAGGGTTTATATTGGATTTTAATATTTTTTATATGTAGTAGGCACAATAAAATGAGTGTATATCTCGTATATTTAGCAAGTTCAGGCTTTTGAAAAGTGGTGGGGTGTGCTGTCTAGCAAAGGAGCTGGTATTAAAAAACAATAAAAAGTATAATACACACACACACACACAATACACTCATTACTTACCTTAAAATATTTGTAGTCTTAATGTAGGGTGAGAGGTGAATAGTATTTATTTGTAGGAAGTCAGGTGTGGGAGGTATGGTAGCCAGCTAGGACAATTCACCCACACGTAATACGTATGTACTATGGCATTTAAAGCGCACTAGAGTAATAAAATGCATATACAGTTCACTCATTACTCACCCTAAAATATTTATAGTCTTAATGTAGGGTGAGAGGTGAGTAAACGAGGTAAAACGAATAGACGAGAGAGAGTGAGTACATGAGAGAGGAAACAGACGCGGAGAATGTAAACAAACAGACAAATATGTCTGGTTTTGGTCGATACACGTTCATCTACACCTAACATCTCATATTTATGTTAATTTATTCTACTGTTGGGTGTATCTTATTCCTTATCCTCATATCAGACATAAACAGAGATATACACCACAGCACCGTATCATCCTTTGCGGATGATACTAGGATCTGCATGAGGCTGTCATCTGCTGAGGACGCGGTTAACCTCCAAGAAGATATAAACAAAGTTTTCCAGTGGGCAACGGTAAACAATATGATGTTCAATGAGGACAAATTCCAACTACTCCATTATGGAAAACTGGAGGAGATAATAACTAGAACAGAGTATACTACTGACTCCGGCCATACAATAGAGCGGAAAAATAATGTAAGGGACCTGGGAGTAGTAATGTCTGAGGATCTCACTTTCAAGGATCACAACAGTGCCACGATCGCACGTGCAAAGAAAATGATAGGATGGATAATGAGAACTTTCAAAACGAGAGATACCAAGCCCATGATGATCCTTTTCAAATCACTTGTTCTCTCTAGGCTGAAATACTGCTGTACATTAACATCTCCATTCAAAGAAGGTGAAATCGCAGATCTAGAGAGTGTACAGAGATCCTTTACTGCACGTATAAGTTCTGTCAAGCACCTTAACTACTGGGAACGCTTGGAAGCACTTGACTTGTACTCGTTGGAACGCAGGAGGGAGAGATATATCATAATCTACACTTGGAAAATCTTGGAAGGAATGGTCCCAAATCTGCACACAGAAATCACTCCCTACGAAAGTAAAAGACTGGGCAGGCGATGCAAAATGCCCCCAATAAAAAGTAGGGGCGCCATTGGTACACTAAGAGAAAACACCATAAGTGTCCGGGGCCCAAAACTGTTCAACAGCCTCCCATCAAGCATTAGGGGAATTGCCAATAAACCCCTGGCTGCCTTCAAGAGAGAGCTGGACAGATACCTAAAGTCAGTGCCGGATCAGCCGGGCTGTGGCTCGTACGTTGGACTGTGTGCGGCCAGCAGTAACAGCCTAGTTGATCAGGCCCTGATCCATCGGGAGGCCTGGTCATGGACCGGGCCGCGGGGGCGTTGATCCCCGGAATAACCTCCAGGTAACCTCCAGGTATGTAGCATGTTTATTACATAATTTTGAAGAAATATCACAGATGGATTAATGAAAATGTTTATATTAACATAATATACGACATTTAATGAGCCTCAGAGTGATTATTATTGCATATTATTAATACTGTCATTATTAATATGGCATCCTCAAGACTAGTATGACACACTTAGTGATTTTAATGTGTACCTGAATGCCAGCACAGTGTGTAAGTTTATTTGGGTGCAGGTACACATAAGTATAATTATCAGAGTGTACAATATGAAAACTTTTAGACACTTGAAATTTTGGAAAGTTTCCAAATGTAATGGAGAGAGACAGTGCTCACAGAAAATGTAAACAAACCAGGTGGGGGGCATGGTGACCAAATTAGAAAGTCAGATGGGGAGCCGTACAGCGAGTTTAGGTCGTAATTTGAAATGTCCTTATTACCGGAATGCCATAAGGGGAAACGACTGTACGGTACTGTACAGTCTGGGAAACAGGAAGCAATTAATGTTTTGCAATTGTCGAACTGCAGTACAAATATGCATGTGAAAACAATCACTCTACTAGTGTACTTTAATTCTATAAAAAATAAATCATTAGCAAGTTGCAACACCAGCTTTATACATAAACCACCATCAGTCAGCATCTTGTCCTGACAAGCCAAACATGCTGCAACACAAACAGATTAGTGACTATCTGTTTCATATGAACTTCATTATACATTTTTGTGGTTATTTTCATGAGAGCAATTACTACATCAGTTTAAATACTTGTCACAAATTAACACTGAAAAGTATCACTGATCAACAAATATTAAGAATATACTAGTTGAGCAAAGGCTGTCACTTACCCAGTCTCCAGGTCAAGAATGGTATGACGAGCCAGGTAGGAATAGCGGAACAACTGGAAAAGAGGGATTTTGCTGTTATTATTTTTTTAAAACTGTACAATGTATAACCAACATACAGATGTTATCACATACTATCCAATGTTCAGCATAAGAATAAAATTAAGAATTTTTATTTCATCATTTAACAGACAACTGACCTTCTGAACATCATGGACCATAAGCAGGTACTTCCTACTCGGTGAGAGACTGTACTTGAAGGGCCGCCATTCACCCTAGAGAAATAATTTTATGCTGAGGAAAGCTGTGTTGTCAATATTAATATTTACAATAAATATTAAATACTTTAAGCAACAAGACAGGTAGGTAGGTAGCAATCAATACTATCATGTAAGGTACTGATAGTCAAAAAACAATGTATTTAAAAACATTAAAAATTTACAATACAGTGTACAGATATAAGGCAAAATCTATTTTTTTTTTATTTACGGGTAAATACTAAGAATGAAAGTGATGAATGATGATGAAAGTATTTTCTTTTTGGGGATTTTCTTTCTTTTTTGGGTCACCCTGCCTCGGTGGGAGACGGCCGACTTGTTAAAAACACAAACACACACACACACACACTACAAACCTCACTCAAGGAAAAAGATCTTGGGGTGAGTATAACACCAGGCACATCTCCTGAAGCGCACATCAACCAAATAACTGCTGCAGCATATGGGCGCCTAGCAAACCTCAGAACAGCATTCCGACATCTTAATAAGGAATCGTTCAGGACCCTGTACACCGTGTACGTTAGGCCCATATTGGAGTATGCGGCACCAGTTTGGAACCCACACCTAGCCAAGCACGTAAAGAAATTAGAGAAAGTGCAAAGGTTTGCAACAAGACTAGTCCCAGAGCTAAGAGGTATGTCCTACGAGGAGAGGTTAAGGGAAATCAACCTGACGACACTGGAGGAGAGGAGAGATAACATGATAACGACATACAAAATACTGAGAGGAATTGACAAGGTGGACAAAGACAGGATGTTCCAGAGACTGGACACAGTAACAAGGGGACACAGTTGGAAGTTGAAGACACAGATGAATCACAGGGATGTTAGGAAGTATTTCTTCAGTCACAGTAGTCAGTAAGTGGAATAGTTTGGGAAGCGATGTAGTGGAGGCAGGATCCATACATAGCTTTAAGCAGAGGTACGATAAAGCTCACGGTTCAGGGAGAGTGACCTAGTAGCGACCAGTGAAGAGGCGGGGCCAGGAGCTTGGACTCGACCCCTGCAACCTCAACTAGGTGAGTACACACACACACACACACACACACACACAATATGCAGCAGAAATGTGAAGCTAGATTACTGATATTTGTGTTATTCATTTTATATTATAACTACCAAAAATTCCTAAGAATAAAACCAGATATATTTTCTTGAAAATATTTAAAGTAGTATAGTTTAATGCAGAGATTGCTATGGCAATGACTGTACATGTCACTCCCTATTGAATGCTGAGAGACGGTCCAGAAATGCATGCCACCTACAGTAAACCTTTGTGAATTTATGTTGAGCTCCTACCTAACATGCTCTCACAAGCCTGCTGTATGTCCCATCCCCTAGCACTCAAAATCTCTCTTATCCTTTCCCTCCGACCTCTCCTAGGACAACCCCTACCCCTTCTTCCCTCCACCCTAGATGTAACACCCTCCTAGCAACCCTATTTTTCTCCAGCCTCTTTAAATGTTCAACCTACCTTAACAACCCCACCACTAATTGCCCTCAAACATATCTCTACTATTGCCAGCCTTCCTTGCTGAAACATTCAAAACCCATGCTTCACACCCATACAACAGTGTTCGTACCACTATTCTTTGGTACATTCCCCTTTATTCCTTCATGTATAAAATTCTTTGTTTCAACAGATGGCTTAGTGTACCACCCACCTTTCCTTCGTCAATTCTGTAGTTCACCTTATCTCTCATAGAACCATCTGCTGACACCTCCACTCCCAAATATCTGAACAAAATTACTTCATACTCCCTCCCTCTAATCTGATATTCAGTCTCCCACTGCTATTTTTTTTTTATACTCTCATCACCCTGCACTTTCATGTTTACTTTTAATTTTCTTCTTTTGCACAGCCTCTCAAATTTATTTACTAACCTTTGCAACTTCTTTTCTGAATCTCCCAAAAGAGCTACATTGTCAGCAAAAAGGAACTGTGACAACTCTCACTCCATAACAGATTCACTAACTTTCAATCCTACACCTTTTCCCCTAATACCCTACCATTCACTTCTTTGATAACCCCATCTATAAATATATTAAACCACCATGGTGACATCACACATTGCTGTCTAAGGTCTACTTTTACTGTGGCATCACAAACAAAAGTTCTTTACTGGTATAAGTAACCTATTGCCTATTCCATACAGTGCACTCTTATTCCTTTTCTTAATCCATAAATACAATAAAATGTTCCTACCTTTATCCAAGTACTGTTCACTTATATGCTTCATTGTAAACACTTGGTCTACACAACCCCTACCCTTCTTGAAATTCTGTTCCTCTGCAATCCTACTCTGTCTTATCCATAATTCTTTCAATAATAACTGCCATACACTTTACCCAGTTTACTCAACAGGATTTTTTTTTTTGGTTGAACACACCAGCCATCTCCCACCAAAGTAAGTTGATCCAAAATAGAAAACACACTTTCGCTATCACTCAATCCATCATTCTCCAATATTTCAGTTCAAAACTGCAAAAATCCCCACCTCGCCTTCAGAGTGCAGGCACTGTACTTCCCACCTCCAGGATTCAAGTCCGGCTAACCAGTTTCCCCGAATCCCTTCATAAATGTTACCTTCCTCACACTCCAAGAGCACGTCAAGTCATAAAAACCACTTGCCTCCATTCATTCCTATCTAACATGCTCACACACGCTTGCTGGATGTCCAGGCCCCTCACATACAAAACCTCCTTTACCCCCTCCCTCCAACCTTTCCTAGGATGACCCCCACCCTACCTTCTCTCCACTACAGGCTTATTCCCTTTAATTCTTTAACCCCTCTTCCCTTGTACAAAGGAACTATGCATGCTCTCTGCTAATCCCATCAATACACTGCACAAAAGCATCGACCACTCCAAAACTATATTCCCACCTGCTTTTTACATTTTTGTCTCAATCTCGGCTGCTTTACCCTCTTTCATCCCACCCACTAATTCATGCACCTTCCCTACACTGACATCTGGTTCTTCTTCAGTCATACAAGGTGTTATACCTTCCTGCCCAATGAAAAAATGGGTCCCCCTCATTTGTTTTTGACTTAAATCCATTTGTTCCCTATTTATCTCATTCCAAAATTTTCTTATTCTCAGCAAAATTTATTGACACCTCTCTTTACTTCTCTCCCCTACCAATGACATTTCCTTGTACCACATCCACCTCTTATTCTCACTGTAGTTACCACTAAATAATGCATTCAGAAGTCTACCCATCAACCTTTAATCTACTAAATACATAGTCCAACAAACTGCTATCATCACACCCTATATTGTATCTCATATATGTACTCATTTATACTCTTTTTCTTACAATACGTATTACCTATTTCCAAACCTTCTTCTATACATAACTCAATTAAAGCCTCTCCCCTCCCATTATCATTTACTACTGGCAATCCAAACTTACCCACATCATCATCCACAACAGTTTCTCTCACTAACCATTTAGGTTCCCCACAACAAATATTTTCTCACTGGGTTCAAAACTTCCTAAACACTCACTTAATACTTTCCAAAATCTCTCACTCTTGCACTCTTTTTTTTCTCTCCGTGATTGATCATTCAATATTACCACCAATGTGTCCTGTACTCTAAATTCTAGAATAAAATTTCTGAATACTTTACCATAGTCTACAAGAGCTTTAAATTTATTATTGAAAGACCATAACTTGTTTGACCTACCATGACATCTTCGCTAACCAACTCTGTAGAAGCCTGGGTGTCTACAATAAAAATGTTGAGGGCTTCTGATTCCGTACGGTACAAGAACTCATTATCTGCAGGAAAAAAATAATTAAATTATATCTATAATTGTAAATTATTTATGAAATACAGTAACCAGCATCAGAGTAACTTAACTTCTAAGGAAATTACTGTTTAATCATAATGTATAAACTGAAATTTCTAGTACAGTTCAATCACTATTGTGTGTACATTATTATTATTCCCTGTATTATTATTATTCATTATTATTATTACTGCTATGGGAGGCTGAGGGAGGCACAAATACGAGTAGGCAAATATGAGAGGTTAGGGGCCAGAGATGAGAGAAGGAGGTTATTTGACAAATGTGACCATGAAGTAATAGTCTATCAAATGAGAGTAATAGGAAAATGGATATTCAATTTCTAACAAACTGATCACATACAGTGGTTGTAAACAAGATAAACTTCAATATCAGCAAAGTAAAAAGTTAAGTACCCCAATGTATGGTCCTCATACCATTAATATTTCTCATTCTCATAGCCAACATGGACAAGAGCACTAGCCATTGCTCCATTTCTTCTGCAGATGATACATATCTTCTGTAGATGATACCAAAGTATGAAAGTCACCTCAGTACAAAGACAAAACTAGCAAAGCCTTACAATGGTAAATGAAATAACACATTTAACAGTAACAGATTTCAACTGTGCTCAAAATAAGCATCGTATACAAAATGCTGGCAGGCCATATCTGTGTATAAAACAGGAATAATTATGGCACAGGATGTCATTTGGAGAACACAATAAGGCAAATGCAACAGAAGCCAGGATAATGATAGTATGAATTTTAAGAACTTTTAAAACACACACACATTCAGTATACATATATACATTTATGTACTGTACATACAAATCAATGCACCTACCAGAGATCCATGTGCCGTTGAAAGACTCTGTAGAGAAGGTTCCATTTAGTACCTCTGCTAAATCTATACCACCTGGAGTAGCCGTTAATGCAGATGTCTCCGGAACTATGGTGGTAGGCCTGTGAATAGTCATGAATACATACAACTGTTTTATGTAGTATTCTAGATCAGACTGAGAAAGATTACTAATATTATGTAGTCACATATAACACTTAAATTTGTTCTAGTCAAACAGTGCTACTGAAGTTTAAGTGACTATCAGTTAAAACTAAGAATACATTATTTCTATATATCAAAGCTTAACAATGCTGCACTCAAGTTTGGTTAATGTGAAGTCACATAAGAACATAAGAAAGAGGGAAGACTGCAGTAGGCCTAATGGCATATGCTATTCAAGTCCAATTCACACCTGCCCAAACTATTTTTTAAGCTAACTAAAGTTATTGCCTCAATTACACTACCTGGGAGTTTGTTCCACTCATCTACAGCTCCAATGCCAAATCAGTGCTATCCTATACCCTCTCCAAATCTAAATTTGTCCAATTTTAATTAATCCATGGTGGTTACCTGAAGGAAGTTTCAAGGGTTAATGTCCCCACAGATCAGTCTGTGACCAGGCCTAGCGGTGGATCAGGGCCTGGTCTACCAGGCTGTTACTGCTGGCTGTATGTAAACCAACGTATGAACCATAGCCCGGTTGATCAGGTACTGACTTTAGGTGCCTGTCCAGCACCTTCTTTAAGACAACCAGGGGTCTACTGGTAATCCCCCTTATGTATGCTGGGAGGCAGTTGAACAGTCTTGGGCACTTGACACTTATTGTTTTGTCTCTTAGCATACTCGTGGTGCCCCTGCTTTTCACAGGAGGGGGGGGGATGATGCTGCATCTCCTGCCGAGTCTTTTGGCGTCATAGGGAGTGATTTTTGTGTGCAGATTTGGGACTAGTCCCTCTAGGATTTTCTAAGTGTAGATTATCATGTATCTTTTTCACCTGCATTCCACGGAGTACAAATCAATGGACTTCAACTCCTCCCAGTAATTTAGATGCGTTATTGTACTTATATGTGCCATTAAAGTTTTCTGTATATTCTGAAGGTTTGCAATTTTGCCTGCCTTGATAAGAGTCTTTAGTGTACAGCAATATTCCAGCCTTGAGAGAACAAGCAAGTTGAAGAAAATCATCACGGGCTTGGCATCTCTAGTTTTGAAAGTTCTCATTATCCATCCTATCAAACGTGAAATTCTCTGACATTATCACTCACATGTCCTTCACATTAGTTTTTCGCTCTATTGTGCAGTTGGGATTTGTTTAATACTCCAATACAGTTTTTACTTAATTTAATTTACTTATTCAAGCATTTGTATAAATTTATGTAACATTTTTCCCCTTGGTGGATTAAGAAGGAAGGAAATTTTCAAACGAGCCTAAAATATTTATGTGATACTGACCTTCGTGTGATGATAATTGTAGCAATGCCAGCGGCCACAACAAGCATGACACCCACTGTGCCCAAGAGTAAGTTTCTCCATACTCGCGATCGCGTAGAACCCACAAGCTCCTGTTAAATACAGAATAAATTAATAAAAGTTGATCAACTAGAGTCATATAATACTGTAATTAAAATAGGAGCTAACGTACATGGAAGTTTATTTAGGCACAGGTATACATGGTATAATAAACCTTGGTAATAGATACCGATAAGTTGGTTAGAAAAACACATAAGCAAACACTAGGACATATTACAAAAAGTTTTGGTCCTGGGACTTTGATCACGGTCCCAGAACCAAAAAGTTTTCTGTCCTAGTGTTCGCTTACGCGTTTTTCTAAACCAAAAGGTACACATAAGTACAATTATCATACACAGTGTAAATTACCTAGGATAACCCAAAAAGTCAGACAAAGTGACAGCTGTTATTATCGTACCTAAAGCAACACATACTCCAGTAAAATCTAACTGCGGAACTGTGCCCTAGTTATTCATGTATACATGCTATATAATTTGTATGTAACCTTTAACTAAACTGTCGCTTTGTCTTTAGTTTTGTATTAGAAAGTTTTCAACAAACATACTTAGCTTCATGCTCTTTTCACATTATTTCAAGGACATGACTCATGTGCACTTCCCCTGGAGTTTACCTGGAGAGAGCTCCGGGGGTCAACGCCCCCGCGGCCCGGTCTGTGACCAGGCCTCCTGGTGGATCAGAGCCTGATCAACCAGGCTGTTACTGCTGGCTGCATGCAATCCAACATATGAGCCACAGCCCGGCTGGTCAGGTACCGACTTTAGGTGCTTGTCCAGTGCCTGCTTGAAGACAGCCAGAGGTCTATTGATAATCCCCGTATGTATGCTGGGAGGCAGTTGAACAGTCTTGGGCCCCTGACATTTATTGTATTGTCTCTTAACATGCTAGTGACACCCCTGCTTTTCATTGGGGGGATGTTTGCTTTCGTTGTGAGTGATTTTCGTGTGCAAGTTCGGTACTAGTCCCTCTAGGATTTTCCAGGTGTATATAATCATGTATCTCTCCTGCCTGCATTCCAGGGAGTACAGGTTCAGGAACTTCAAGTGCTCCCAGTAATTGAGGTGTTTTATCTCCGTTATGCGTGCCGTGAAGGTTCTCTGTACATTTTCTAGGTCAGCAATTTCACCTGCCTTGAAAGGTGCTGTTAGTGTGCAGCAATATTCCAGCCTAGATAGAACAAGCAACCTGAAGAGTGTCATCATGGGCTTAGCATCCCTAGTTTTGAAAGTTCTCATTATCCATCCTGTCATTTTTCTAGCAGATGTGACTGATACAATGTTATGGTCCTTGAAGGCGAGATCCTTCGACATGATCACTCCCAGGTCTTTGACGTTGGTTTTTCGCTCAATTTTGTGGAAGGAATTTATTTTGTACTTTGATTAAGTTTTAATTTCCTCATGTTTACCATATCGGAGTAATTGAAATTTCTCATCGTTGAACTTCATATTGTTTTCTACAGCCCACTGAAAGATTTGGTTGATGTCTGCCTGGAGCCTTGTAGTGTCTGCAGTGGAAGGCACTGTCATGCAGATTCGGGTGTCATCTGCAAAGGAAGACACGGTGCTGTGGCTGATATCCTTGTCTATGTCAGATATGAGGATGAGAAACAAGATGGGAGCGAGTACTGTGCCTTGTGGAACAGAGCTTTTCACCGTAGCCGCCTCAGACTTTACTCTGTTGACTACTACTCTTTGTGTTCTGTTAGTGAGGAAATTATAGATCCATCTACCAACTTTTCTTGTTATTCCTTTAGCACGCATTTTGTGTGCTATTACGCCATGGTCACACTTGTCGAGGCTTTTGCAAAGTCTGTATATATTACATCTGCATTATTTTTGTCTTCTAGTGCATCTAGGACCTTGTCGTAGTGATCCAATAGTTGAGACAGACAGGAGCGACCTGCTCTAAACTCATGTTGACCTGGGTTGTGTAATTGATGGATTTCTAGATGGGTGGCGATCTTGCTTCTTAGGACCCTTTAAAAGATTTTTATGATATGGTTTGTTAGTGCTATCGGTCTGTAGTTCTTTGCTATTGCTTTACTGCTCCCTTTGTGGAGTGGGGCTATGTCTGTTGTTTTTAGTAACTGTGAGACGACCCCCGTGTCCATGCTCCCTCTCCATAGGATGGTAAAAACTCGTGATAGGGGCTTCTTGCAGTTCTTGATGAACAAGTTCAAGACTCACTATGTTAAAGTCGGTACCTGACCAGCCGGGCTGTGGTTCGTACATTGGATTGTGTACAGCCAGCAGTAACAGCCTGGTTGATCAGGCCCTGATCCACACCATGAGAGGAATGGTCACAGACCGGGCCGCGGGGACATTGACCCCCGGAACTTTCTCCAGGTAAACTCCAGGTGTCACGATTTTGCTTCCCCTGTAACTCATTTATATTATAATAATAATAATAATAATAATAATAATAATAATAATAATAATAATAATAGTAATAATAATCTTCATTTCTACAAGTACAAGGTATACAGACCATAGCTGACATCAATGACATACTACTATATAGAAAGCCCCTTGTTATGCAAGGCATTTCCCGCAAATTAGGTCAATTTTGTCCCAGGATGCGACCCATACCAGTCAACTAATACCCAGGTACCTATTTTACTTCTAGGTGAACATGGACAGCAGGTGTCTTAAGGAAAGACGTCCTAATGTTTCCAACCGTACCGGGGATCGAACCACGAACCTCAGTGTGAGAGCGCGCTGGTAGTTGAACAATCGAGTCATACGCACAGTTCGAGACATTTACTGAAGAAACGTTTCGCCATAAGTGGCTTATTCACTAGAACTGAAGCCACCACTTGTGGCAAAACGTTTCCTCAATACATGTCTTGAACTTTAAGCATCACCATACCTTTTCACTCATTTATATTGCTGCCTCGTTTTCAAAAACTTCTTTAATATTTTCTTATTCCTTGAACCACCTAACACATGGAGCATGGGGACGTTAGGAAATATACTTTGAATCTTAAATAGTGATTAAATGGAATGCACTAAACGAAGAGATGGTGGAGGCCAACCCTACACAGTTTTAAAGAATAGATTCGTTCAGGCCCTGAAGTGGAAACGGGACTCTGGGAATTTAGGTTCCAAAATCACTTAAGAAGGATATGACATCCTCAACACTGAAGACAAACACAAACAGCATAATTATCAGCTGTAACTACAAAAAGATAATAAAAATAGGTTCCACCATGTTGTGTCTTAGTGCACCAGTAATCTCGCTCTTCAAAATGGCCCAAAATAGGTTCGTGTATTAGAAAGATGTCCGTCTTTCTTAGCATTTAAAATAACATTAATGCAAGGTCTTGGGAAGGTGAAAGTTATAGTAGAGTGAATGTTAGGTAAAATACAGCTAGCACAAAACAAAAACCGCAAAGGTCAAACAATGCGGGTGCACAGTATTGTATTGTCCGGATAAGTGGTCAGCAGTTCTCTCTTTAATGTCATTGTACTGTCATCAACCACTCCTCACCTAGCAGTAAAAAAAAATAGGTACCAAAAATAACTACCTGTTTGTTAGTTGATTGTTGTAGGTCACATCCTGGTGAAAAAACATGCAACGCAAATGTGTAAGACACTCCAGTTTTACTGGAAGTCATATCCAGTGCAAAATGTCAATGTACAAGAAAACTCCAGACGTGTTGGCATATTAATGTTGCGTACAGGGTGCCATGCAATGTGGGGTAGCTAGTAAATGTATGACCTAAAACATTCAACTATTACGAATAATACAGTGCAGCTATCTGTATTATCTAGAAGTGTAGTTTATTATTATAATTTATCAATATACTATTGTGTATCATATCTCAATAAGAGTTAGCCTAAAACGCTGCATTTAACAGACCTTATAAAAATTTTGGTATTACACATGCCTATGTACTGTTTATATGTAAATAAAATGCCTGTATGAAGTAATTTTAAACTTCGGTTAATTTTTCTTTAATACAGTCATTAATTTTATTTAATAAAACATGAGGTACTATGCGTTTAAAACATTCTCAAATGTCAAATATATTAACGACAAAACTTGAACAAAACTACGAAAAGTAATAAAGTTTACCCGGCTGTTGTGGATGACATCCTAGAGGGTTGATGGTGTTCAATTAAATACGTTGGAGCCTCGATATGAGCTGATGTGTGATAACAGTTCATAGCTTGTAAATTCAATTGTAAAAAAAAAATAATAATAAAAATCAGGCAGTTACCACTTTCTTCTGATGGTGACTAGTCTGTCCTTACGTTTGGTAGTAGTAAATGAAAAGAAAAACTGACATGCGCAACAAAAAAAAAAAGAAAAACTAAAAAATGCAAAAGATCGTCTGGGCGACAACAGCACAAGGTTAGACTAAAGGTGAAGCAAACGGTACATGTGCAACAGAGTCCGCGACTATGAGGATAAGTTAACCCTAGCATTCTAAATAACCTTTTACATCTATATTAATAGAAGTCTGACTATTTTCACAGTTACTAACAAACTCTAGCATAATTTTTTTTTATTAACACATAGGCCGTTTCCCACCAAGGCAGGGTGGCCCGAAAAAGAAAAACTTTCATCATTCACTCCATTACTGTCTTGCCAGAGGCGTGTTTACACTACAGTTATAAAACTGCAACATTAACGCCCCTCCTTCAGAGTGCAGACACTGTACTTCCCATCTCCGGGACTCGTGTCCGGCCTGCCGGTTTCCCTGAATCCCTTCATAAATGTTACCTTGCTTACACTCCAACAGCACGTCAAGTCCTAAAACCTATTTGTCTCCATTTGCTCCTATCTAACATGCTCACGCACGCTTGCTGGAAGTCCAAGCCCCTCGCACACAAAACCTTCTTTACCCCCTCCCTCCAACCATTCCTAGGCCGACCCCTACCCCGCCTTCCCTCCACTACAGATTTATAGATGTATTGGATATCCGCATCTGCATCCGCGGAACATCCGCACAATTTCTTACATCCGCATCCGCATTTTACTGTAAACAGATATTTGCATATGCATCCGCATCAGCAAAATAGGTAAGTAA